CCTCCCTCCCTCCCCTCCCTCCCTCCCTCCCTCCGCCTCGCCTCCCTCCCTCCCTCCCTCCCTCCCTCCCTCCTTCCCCCTCTCCCTCCCTCATATTGTGGACCTTCCATCAAACGCCCGACACTATGCCGCACATTACTTAGAAGGGGTACTTTTACCTAACAGGGAGGGGGTAGTGCGGCATAGACGACCAGGGGTGTAGCTTTGTCGGCAATGCCGCAAGCAAAGGGAGTGCTGCTTGCGTTGGTTATGGTGCTCGTGGGGAGGAGGGAGGTGGAAGGAGGGCAGGGAGGAACGCTGTCTGCAGGCTACTATCATACCTGCGGGATCTTGGCCAACGGGACAGGCCTGTGCTGGGGTGACAACTCGGCTAACCAGTCAGTCGTCCCGAAACAGTAAGAAACCATGCGTTGACAGACTTCTACTGGGAGTTGGAGGGTTATCGACTTGTCCAATCCTTTTGACTGTCAAGCAGGTTTGTACGATTTCAAATAGCAAGCAATTACTCGAAGATGAACAATACGTGGAGCATTTTATACGACTTCCAAAAAGATGAAAAACTTTGCTTAGAAAATCAGAATACATCGAACGACTTGTGTCTTTTCAACATGTCTAACCCCAACATTGGTATTTGCACAATTTATTTGCATAACTGTAGTGAAGGGTTTTGAGGATGATGATTCATACATCCCAGGTTTTTGGTTCAAGAATGAAAGCCAACTGGTTTGGAAAAACATCACGGGGTGGAAAAGTTTAGCAGCAGGATATTCTCACACGTGTGGCATCACCGATGAAGATACAATCCTGTGAGAACAGTTACTGACAGCTTCAATATGGAATGATTGACCCAAACTAGATGTTGGGGTCAGGGGAAGAATCAGCAATCACTATTACCGCAATGGATCGTGTCCATGCACGAAAACCTCCAAGTAAAACTTTCATCACTCAATGCAGAGAGTCTGATGAGTTTCAAGTGGAAGGCAATTTCATGCGGAACGTCGCACACATGTGCCATCCTGAAGAACGGATCAGCAGTGAGTGCGGCTACTGGATATCAAAGGGTTGAGATTGGTGCAGGCGTGCTGGGGATCGAACGTCGAGGTGAGGGAGTCGAAGTTGCTTCTTGAGGAGTGAAAGATCGACTCAAGGGTCAAATCTCCATCCCCCCGCAAGTTGCAGCATGGGAGATGATTGATTGCGGTTACGCGCACACATGCGGGATAGACGTCAACGGCAGCGCCTACTGCTGGGGGTGGGACGGCATCACGCCTGGACGGCTGATCCCTTTCGGGCAGACAAAGGTAAGCCTCGATGAGCGTCAGGCTCTGGCTGAGCTCATGCCGCGGAGGTTCCGAGCGACATCTCATCATGGCGAAGTATCGCGGCAGGGTTTGTTCACTCGTGAGCTGCCTCATCCTCAGCTGCTTCCTCTGATGTCCGATAAAGTTGTGGCGTAGCTTCAAATGGGGAAGGGAGATGTTGGGGCTCGAATGGAAACGATCAGGAAAGATCTCTATCTTCAGTCAGTCAACCACAGAATAAGCTTGATCCGCAGATCTCCATGCCTTCTTATCTGGAATCTGCAGCTTCGCAAGAAGCTAATGTGAACATGTCGATGCATTTTGCGATCCAAGAGCCTTCAAGGTTTGTGAAGCCCTACAGCTCGCATGGTGAAGTGACAGGGTTCGAGCAGATGGGAGTCAATAACAGCTTCGTATTTCCATTCTTGTGGGCTCACAGTGAACAAAACCATTATGTGATCCTTTGCAAACTCCTTCTCTCCTGCTAATGTCAAGTGGAAGATGCTGGGGAAGCAACGATGCTAGACAGAATGATGTTCCGTCAGTTGTGAATGCCCAGTACTTGTCAGTGACCAGCGGGTATCACTTGTCTTGTCTAGAGTGTGGACTTGACCGTTGGCAGATATGTGCACAACTGTGCGATGAACGCTTCAGGTAGTTGTGTTCCTACGGGGATAAGCTCGCTCATGATGAGCAGGCCAAGCTCTTTGCTGGGGGCCAAGGCCGAATGCTATCAAGAATTACTGGTGCTGGTGAGCCCTTGCAGCCCGAACTGAAGGCTGTGTTAGGTATGTAGGGCAAACAACGGTGCCTCAGCGAGGAGCTTTCAAGATATGAAACAGATGTAAATAGAAATTTATATAGATCGAAATTAAAGGAAATTTGCTTAGATCACTACGTCCATGAGAAGCGCGACACCAGCCTGGATCCACTTGCTTGGCTTCTGCTTCGTCTTGAGGCCAGCAAGGAACACAAACGTGTCCTTTCCTCCTCCTGCTCCACGGATTTGAGTCTTGAAGACAGGGCACTGATAAACTCCCGTCTCGACCTTGTCCGCAGGCACTGCCTTGATGAGAACAACAGGCATCTTTGCGAAAAGCTCCTTAGGACGACTGTCTTCGATTGTTCCTGTCTTCTCGTCCCACCTGGCACCTTCCATGATGAGGCCATTCACGTACGCGCCTTCCTTGTTAAAACCGGGGATCTGTGAAGGCTCCATGAAGCGCGTCACCTCAGTTTGATTCACCGTGCGATCTAATGCCCATTCGTTTCTTCGCGCTGTCGTCTGCATCACAGCAGTGAGGAACGACTGCGGGCTGAACAAGCCAGATATCCAGGTGCACTTGGGCAGGCCAAGCTCGCCCGTCCATACATCTAGCTGCTTCTGCCGATCGAGCAGGTTGATCAACCACGACGAGTATGGTCTCTTCGAAGGGTATGCGATGTTCTCCCAGCTCTCAGGTACCTTGTTCTCGGCCAAAGAGGTCATGAGCTTCTCCATCTTGTCAGTGATCTGAAGATCTCCCTTCAAACCCTGATCCAGCTCTATCAACGAGCGACGAATTTCAGTCGTCAAGATGACCATTCGTTCTATTTCTTGCAAGAACACGTTCACGTATGGCGTGCGCTCTTCAATGCGCTCAAGAATATCCACCATGACGAACTGGTCTGGCAGCTTCTCGAGTGTATCATCCAATGCTGCCTTTGCCTTGTCCTGCAACGTCATCCCCCCACCACCAGCTGCACTTCTGGGCATCAGCTCTACGATGGACTGGAACATCGCCTCAGCTTGAGAAAACCTGAAGCCGATCTCTGCGTTAGGGTGCATGCCGTAAGCGATGGGACTCTCTTGCGGCATCACCTCCTGCACGTATTCGATCGTTTGTTTGGTGTTGAGCGTGTTGGACGGAGTCGTGAAACCCGGGTAGATCTGGAAGCCATCCAAGAGCTCTGGAGTGAGGTAGGACTCGAGGTACGAGCTGACAAGCCGACGATCAAAGTTATTTGTTACGTGTCCACCGTACATGATTTCTCCGAAGATGTATCGCAAGTCAGCCCATGGAATCTTGGTATTTGCCTCGAGGTAGTTGACGCAGACTTGCGCGCAGCTGATGAGATCGCCCATGTTGAAAGGATACAACACGTTCCATCCTTGTGGGCCGAACTTTCTCCTTTCAAGAATGATGGCATGGAAGAAGCACGTCATGAATGTGATGCTGCGCAGTTCACCAACCTTGGAGCATTGTTCATAGAATGCATCATCAAACGGAAGCAGAGCCTTGAGGAGGTTAGGCTTCAACCCTTCTGGGGGTTCGTTCGTCAACTTGATACAAACTTGAAGAATGTTGATAGGTAGCATAGCAGCTTCGGCAGATAAAAAGAGCCTGAAATCCTGATGAGCACTAGATAAATCATCACATCGCTTCTCAAGCCAGCCGGCTGTCCATCTTGGTGTCAGGTGAATATTCTGCAAAAATCCCCATCCACCATTCTTGTAAGCTGTCTCGACAATCTTCTCTGCAACAGGCTCTTGTCCTTGTCCCAGGGAAACAAGTCCGAAATTACCAGCATCATATGAGATCCCGTACTTCTTTCCTATCTCTTCTGTGTCCTTCACAGGGTCGACACCAGGAGACAAAATGAAGAAGATCGGCGTGTCTGGCGCAGCATCCTCGAACGATCTTGGGAGACTGAAAGGAACAGAAGTGACGTACTTTTCTCCCATCTCCTTCCTCACAAACGTTGACAAGGCCTCTCCCATCCTGTCTGTGCGGAGGCAGCGAATGATCAACAGCTTCGGGAACTCAGCGAGCTTCTTCCAGTCTCCCGGTAGTCCGGCGTCTTCGGGCCTCTCGAGCTCATACCACTCCCTGAATCGCTTTGCGGACGAGACCATCTCCTCCGGCAACGATGCAAAGTTGACTGGTTCGGTGATATCCTGAAGAGCCGCAATAGCTCCCCAGGCAGCATCGTCTAACCATTCCTTCAATGGATTGTCCGAAGACAAGTTCTTAGGTGCTCGAATCAAGAATTCAAACATTCGTTGATCCAGCTCACCCTTCCTTGCCAGCACACGGAAGCAAAGTTGAGCAGCAAAGATGAGCTTGTGCCTTTCAAACAAGCCTTGGGAAATATACTGGAAGACTGTATAGCAAGACTTGTCTATCAGACGTTCAACTCTTGATTTCAGTTGAGCAGGAGTCATCGTGGTTCCCTCCTCCGGCTGATCCGGCGGAGTCTCTCCTTCCTCATAAATGTCTGCGTTGTCCATTCCTTTCTTAAACATCGTGACGAAATTTGCCATGGAAAATCTGTACATGTGCGACAAAACCCAAAGTTGATCGACCAGGAAGTACATTAGTGCACCTCGAATGGCAACTGCTCTGTAACTTTCCATTGCCGTGGCAATCTCCTGCTCCGTGATCTTGCCTAATTCTTGCTTCTGTTTGATCTCAGTCGAAGTGATTTTGGTTTGTTCGAGGCCTTCAATGAGTGCAATATCCTCCAAAATATCACCCTGCGAATTGCTCAAGCTGTAAAGCAAATCATCTTCTAACTGCTTCAGCTTGATGTTGAAGCCATTCTGATCTTCTACCAACTGCGCTTTCTGCGCACCCAAATCTGGCCTTTCTTTCTCAACGACTTTGTTCAGCAGCTGCTCTTCAAGACCATCGAGAGTGATCATGAAATTGATCAAACTGGTTTGAGCAGCAATTTCTGGTTTGTAATGCGGATTGCTCAGCTTCGTTTGCAAGAACAGCCTGAAGTTCTCGTCGTATTCAACTTCCTTATCTCCAAGTTTGATGACAAGCGCTCTTCCCCTTCGAATCACAGCACGCATCATGACAGGTTCAAGCACGGCATCGATGGACTCAGAGACATTCTCGATCATGATTGGTTCTCCATTGCTCATTGCAAGCTCAATAAACTGGAAACCAGAGTCAGTGTGATCACAAATCTAGAACAATTCAAACTTACATTGATATATTTGTCTTGAGTCTGTTGAACAACTTTCATTTCTTTCACCTCAATCTTTGTCTCTGTCACATTTCCTTCCTCATCAGTGGCAGCTGGAACTTCGACCTCCTTAGTGTACTTGTTCTTAATCCACTTGATTCCTTGCAACTGAGGATCAATCATGAGAGGCCATCTTTGACAATTTGTCATGATGGCGCCGTTTTGCGTTGAGACAGTATCGGTCGGGAGGCCTTCACTATTCCAGATAGCAACGGTTGCAGAATCACAAAGCATGTCGAGAGGTTGAATGCCTTCGGTCATCGGGATCTGCTTCTCGATCATGTCTGTGATCCAAAGAGTATTGACGAGCTTCTCTCTGAAAGCAAGATTGAAAGCTCCAATGTAAGAAACAAAAGCAGAGGCAATCATCACATCTCCGACGTAGTTGCGCTCCTGGACTCCAAACCTCTCAATAGACTGCGACCATCTGACCTTCTCGTCAGCCAAGCCGTTCACCAACCTGTCTGCCATGTTTGCCTTGTTCTGCGTCTTTTCTGCTGCTGCGATGGCCTCATTCTTTTCTTGTGTTGCTTCTTCGAATTGTCTTGTAAGGTCAGCAAGCTTCTCTTCCAGCTCAGCAACTTGCTTTCGAACAGCTGCAAGTTTGGTGTTGGCCTCTTCTAAACGCTGGTTGGCTTCATTCAGCAACTTTCGTTTTGGTTCGACGTACTGATAAATTCGGAAATACTTGCAGATGTTAATAACCCAGGAGGTCATCCCAGCAGCAGCCTGCGACTTGGCTTGCATTGTTGCAGTATTGAAGTAAGGTTTGTTTATAACATTATTTTCACACCACGTGCAAGCAATCTCAGGGGTGTTGTCCTTGTCAAAGTTGATCAAAGAATTCAAGAATTGATCAACGTTGCCCATCATCTTCTTGGCAGCATTCCAGCTCAAGTCCTTCGGGATCTTTCCACCTCCCATCAATACCATGACAGCACTTGTGACATCATCGACTCCAGCTGGAGGGGAGGACAACGCTTTCAATTCTGTCAACGACTTCTTGTCCAACGTGTTCAAAGCTGCCTCTGCCTCCTGGATAACGGGCTCAGCCGCTGCCAGATCTTTATCGCACTCAGCCTGAAATGCCATAACCTCTTCTGCAATCTTGCTGCATTTCTCCTCTTCGATGGCAGCAGCAGCTTTTTGCTCCTCCGCAACCGCGGTCTCCTGACCAACAATAACTATGAGCTCATCGGTAGCTGCTTTCTTTGCTTCAACAACTGCCATGTCTTTCACCAAATTCTCCTGGAGCTCGGCTACCTGCTCGGCAGCACTATTCATCTTCTCAAGTCCGTTCTCTAGACGCTCACGAAGAACTTTGATGCCTTCCTTCTTTGCTGCTAACATGCTTTTGTACAAGGAAATTAGGTCTAAGAATGATTTTGGGGTTGTATAATTGTATCTTCTCTCCGCATCGAAGAATTCAAGAGAGCAATTCTCGACAGAACGATGGACATGCGCCATGTGTAATGCAACGTTGTTTTGAAGCCCTTCCTCAGATGTGATCGCCTCAACCTCCTTAATGAATCTATTTGCCACTTTCATGAGGGCTTCTTGAGACCAACCCATGAAGTAGTCATAAACAGTGTCATTTACCAAGGCAGGAAATTGTCGAGCGCGAATGCGGAAGGAGTCACCGACAGGGCTGAAGCACAGGACCATATGAAGGTTCTTTCTCACCTTCTCGATGAAGAAATCCCAACAATTCTCAGCTGTGTCTATTAATCCTGCCTGTTTGACTTCACCTCGCACAGCGTTGGCACAGTTGTCCTTTTCTTCTTTCGGCATCAGGTCTGCAATATTGCCCGAAGCCAAGAAGTCATTTATGAGAACCATGAATTTCTCGTTCACGATCTGTCCATCTGTTAGGATGAAAGCCATCCCGATTCCCTTCACACCAGACTTAATGTACAACCCCATCAAATTCTCCTTGAAATCAGCCATTCCATATGAAGAGGTGACAGTTATCTGATATGACTCGTAACCAACAATAAAGGCAGAAAGTCTTGCAAGACTTTGTTTGCCGCTTCCACCTACCCCAACGAGTAAGGCATTTCCTCTAGGCAATTCAATAACTCGTGTAATTCTGCAGACATGCTCCACAGCTTGTTCGAACATAACAAGATTCATCACTGCATTGCTTTCGTTGTATTCCCTCAATCGATCTTCCACAATTCCACAAAGCTTGTCAATGTCACTGATGTTTGCATATGGCCTATCAGAATCGTCTACTCCAGGTACAGCGAACGTGGTGAAGTAGTTTGGCCTTTCCATCAACTTCTCCTGATTTAATTCGGACCAATACTTTTTGTTGGTGTCATTAAGTATCTGCTTAAATTTGTCCACATCATCTTCAGCGATCATTCGATCGAGGAAAACTCTCTCACATTCATGGTACCACAAGCGAGCAAGAAGAACTCCTGAGCCGCAAGTCTGAGGCCTGGAACGACAAACTCCTTGCATGACGTTTGCCAACTCACGGAGATTGAAGAGATAATGAAACTTCACGGCAGTAGGTAGGAAGATCTTTGAAACCTGCGTGTACAAATCTATTGTTGCTTGCACAGTATTTTCAGCCCACTTTAGCACCTCGGGAGCAAAACCATTGCTAAGATGCCCTTTAAGAATAGCAGAGTAGATGCTCATAAGAACTTCGTTCGAAGGCATCATTACAGAAAAGGTCATATACGATCGTTGCAACCTGGGATCGATGACAAAGGAACCGGCAGTTGGATTCATGCATGAGAGGAATTGCACTTTTTGGATTTCTTTTGGTTGCAACTTGATCCTATCGTACCATGCAGCATAGTCGAAGGCCTGTCTGAGCAGAGCTATCGGTTGCTGTGTTCCATACTTGTCCACCACAGGCATGTTCAGGTCATCAATGAAGTAAATTAGCCGTTTCGATCCTGGTGGACCAAACACTCTGCCAGTCTTCTTTTCCAAAATACTTTCCTGCATACCATGTCAGCATAAAATCAATCGAACAAATGAGAATTCACGAACCATTGCCATTTGTGCAATCATGGAGTCAGTAAAGGAATTGAAGTTGATTCCTAAGGTGAGGAATTGTTCGGAATCAATGTTTCGCAATTTATCTTTCATGATTGTTGTCTTGCCCGTTCCTGCACTACCAACAAAACATACAGGCCTCCTATACGGAACAACCAAATCAAGAATAGCTGTGATGCGTTGAGTTTGCAAAGTATTGACATAGATGTTTCCGAACACGATTCCTGGTTGATGCACATAGGCAGCAATCCTGTCATTCCAATGCTGCCAGCAGTTGTTCTCCATGTCGACAACGTAATCAAAGATAGATCCTTCTTCTGGAAATGGACATTTAGTGAATTCAGTGCGAAACCACTTGTTGAACTGTTCCTTGTAATCTCCAGATTTGTCATGCGTGAGAGCACCACCAGCTCCCCACATGAGTGCATAGATGAACACTTGCTCAATGAGCTTCAATCCATCTTCAGGTCCTAGCTGCTTCTGATGTTGAGCAAACGATTCACCATTTCCAAGAACTCCTTCAAGGATATAGCATGTTGTCATCGCTGCATTAATCTTCGGCAGCGGACATATCATCCTGAAGTTACGGAAAACAAAATTGATGGTCTTTTCCATGTATTCCTCAAAGAGCTTAGTTAGGGTTGTACGTTCACCTTCAAGCTCTCGGTTCTGAACCCAGGAAGCAATGTATGGTGCCCACCCGACATCTGTGTCGTTGAGAAAAATCACTCCACCACGAGAAACGGTCGCGGGTGAAGCCTCGCGCATGTTTTCGATCTCCAAGAGCAACCTCATTGGCGGCGTAAGGGGAATCCTTTCATTACTTGCCAGCGTCAGGGTCTTGTTATCGTCCATAACAGTGTTCATCGACTCAATCCATTCAGCATCGATGTCTCCGTCCAAAACAATCCATTCATGTTTAACAGTTGTAGTGTTGGCTAAATCACGGAAAATCTGGGAAATCAAACCATCCTTCCATTCTCTGGTGGCTGGATGAATGTAACCATACAGTTCATTTCTGGTTACTGACTTGGGATTCAAATAGTTCATTGTACTCTTCTCCCCAAAGATATTCTGAGCCTTGGACAAAGTCTTCAACATCTCTGACTTACCGCAACCTGCTGGACCAAGCACAAAAACTGACCAACGGACGACCAAGATTTCACGTAATTGCGTGCACTTCAGAATAAAAATGTCCTCTGGTTGCAATCGCAACAAAGTGGCAGCCTCTGCCAACTTTGCTTCGAAGTCAAGGTCCCTATTTCTTGGCACCAAGTCGAGAGAACGAGGAAACAAATCGTTGAGCATACCCATGCTGCAAATCTCTTGTCAGAAGGCAATCATGTTCAGATATGATCATATACTCACAAAATTCCAACGTCATCCGCCACAAGCTTTCCCAGATTAAAATCACGGAGAGCCCTCAGAAGCACTTTGTCCTCTGTATTCTCACGGTCCAATCTTCGTAATCCACCAGCAACAGCAAGTGTCGTCTTTACAGCCCTCAATTTCCAATCATAGTGACGCTGGGCTGACAGCAAGGCCTCACTCAACCGGTACAAGATCATAAACTTTCGCGCTAAGACCTTTCCTTCCGCATACCTGAAATAAAGATATCAATACCAATTTGTAAGCCTTCAGTATGCATACCCTTCTGACATCAGCATAATTTCTGCGATGAGATCCATATCCGGAGTAACCATTGCACAGGGACGAAACAACGCTTTTACACTTTCTGGTAATTCAGTTCTACCCGCATAACCTGCAGCAAAAAAAACGTGAATAAGATTCGCAAAATCATCCAACGGAGAAAAGAAAAGAAAGACAAGTAAACCTACCGGGATTCATAGTAATGAATCCGCAACAGAAAGGCTCATGATTCAAGGGGATGTCATCGTCCTCGAAGATAAATCGACGTTTCTTTGCGCGAATAGCATCTAGGATGCATTTGTATTGTGTGCTCGTCACGGAGAGAACGGAAATGTCGATCCGATTGAACTCGTCAAAGCAACCCCAAGCCCCTGCTTGTGCTAGCCCTTTGAAGATCTGGCCCATGCTCTTATAGTCCATCTGATCCGAGCAATTGAACACGTACACCATAATACCCAGAGCTCGTCCAAGATCTTTGGTTGTCTCTGTTTTTCCAGTTCCAGCGGGTCCTGCAGGAGCACCTCCGAGAATGAGTCGCATAGCCTGGGTCAGAGTGATATAACAGCGGTCAGTAAGTGGTGTGACGACAAGACATCCACAATTGCCAATGTACTCATAGCCAAAGAAACACTCGTAGTCGCAGATATTGATCTTTCCCAAATGAGTCTTTTCATCTAAGCTGAATTTGAGCTGGGACATCCACAGGAAGCATTGATTGTTTTCTGCCTTTGTTTCGATCAGTTCCAGTACCACATCACGAGCGTGCACATCGACTGTGACAATCATGACAATCTTCTTGCGATCATTCGAGCTGAGTTCGCCCAGGATCAGAGTGACAAAGGAAGTCAACTGCTCGATTTGTTTGCCGCTATACTCGCGCATGGCCTGCTCGTTTCCTTCTTCCATCTGTTCAAAAGTGAAATCCACTTCTTCGCGGTAAGCTATACGCGAACACGTTCCAGCAATCATCGCGCACCAATCAAAGACGAATTCTGTCTTCGGCTTTTCTTCATATACACCGACTGCCTCCACGAGAATATGCTTCAGGCATTCATGTGTATGGACAGTCAAATTGAACAACCATGTCTCAACCGGACCCTAGCGAAAGAATCTGTTAGACTCAAGAGAAACGCGAAACAAAACAAAGATCTTTACCTCGCACGTGAAGGGAGCATGAAATGTGACATATTCCTTTTCTCCTGAATACATTCCAATTGAATCCTTCGTTGGATGACCATCTCCATCCTTCTTGAACTCCAGAGTTGAGATGTTGTCGAAGCATTTCGGCAAATGCTTGAGTATCAGCTGCGGATTGCTTCCCTTGCTCAGAATATCCAACAAATCTGCTGATGCAACAAAGTAGAACCTGGGATATGCGAGCCTTTTTGTCTCCAGATAATCTGCGAGCGCTTTCTCGCACTTTTCTAATCCAGCAAGCATAAGTTCGATCTTTTCTAATCGTCCATCGACATTGCAAGAATCTACCGCATTGGTTACATTTGCTGCTTCTTTCATGAGATCCTTGAATTCTACATCTACGCTGTCAAAGCGCTTTGAGTCTTCAGGCAGTTGTACCCTGATATCTGCCGATCCAACAAAAATACTCTGCAGATTTTGCCATTTCTTTTGAACCTCAGTCCAGGCCTGAATAACACTATCAACATTACCAATTTTGCGCTGCCAATTCGAGACGATCTCAAGGAATGAAGCATTGTTCTGAACATACTTGCTCCCTTGAAGATTTCCAAGCTGTACTACGCTATCTTCGAGACACTCCATTACACTTTCGTCAATTCTCAAGAGGTACATTTCTCCATCTGGTTGCAAATCAAAGCTGAAGCTCTGAACCTTCCAAGTATCTTCAATTTTCTTGAGCTGTTTTTCAATCGTCAATTCTTTCTGAGCTTTATCTACAATTTCCATGACATCATCTTCGAATTGATGGAGTTTAAGAGCAAGCAGAGCTCCCAAGCTGAAGTTTTCATCCATCACAAATGAGACGCCGGTTGTCTTCATCAACTGCTTCCAATGCCTTTCGCGCATAGCAGGATGGTGCAGCTCCTCAACCAGAGGTAGCGATGTCTGCATGTTCTTCACAGTATCCTCCAAACCCTTGTATCCTGGCCAGTTCTTTAAATTCTTGTTCATCCCTTTCACATGCTTTGCAAGAGTCTTGCATGCTTCACTGAGGTACTCTACATCAATTTCATCCCATCTCGTCTTCTTCCACAGATTGAATGTGTCAACTATCATCGAAATCATGTCCCACAATTCCTTCAACATTCGTGCTTCCTTCTCGCACTGCATGGCCTCTCTATACTCGATGACATAAAGCTCAAACAACTCCTGCAGCTCATTCAATCTCTTTGCATCAGTGATAAGCTCTCGCACACTTCCCAACTGATTCTTTTCATCTCTCGGTCCATGATGAACACGATCAATTGTAGCGTACGAAATGTCGTATTGTTCTGTGAAAGTGAAAGGCATCTCTTTCTTGAAGTATGCAAAGAACTCCGCAACACGCTCCTCGAATTCTTTGGACTTCTTCTTTAGTTTTTCTGCTTCTGCTGTTTGAGCTTTGCTGTGCTTCTCTTTGGTAACTACAGCTTTCTTCTTCAGCTTATCCCATGCCTGAGGTACATGATCCAAGGCTTCAAGAACAGGTTCTTCCACTGTAATGTTGTACTTCTTTAGCAATGAACAAGTCTGTCTCAAAGGCTCAAACATGTTGTCGATGGCCTCGGTTCTTCGACGAATTTGAGTGAGAAAATTCATCACTTCAAGCAAAGAGTCTTGATCACTGACTTCCATGTCTAATTTCTGATCTGTTGATTCAACGAATGAGGATACATCTTGCACCGAGGTGATTACTCTGTTTAGAAGAAACTCCAAGAATTTATACGACCACTTGGAGATAAGTGTTGTCAATGAATTCTTGACAGGGCGAGCATCAATTTTGAGCCATCCGACAATTTTGGTAGCAGGAAGCTCCCTTACTTGGTCTTCAAGACTCTTGTACTTGATGATCTGCTCCTCAAAAGCTTCCAACGATGGAGATGATGCACCTTCGGCAAATTTCTGCCATTTATGGAACTCTGGAGGATCTTCGCCATTCAAGAACAGATTGAAAACTTCGTTGATGTCATGCCTCCACAAGAAAGAAAACTTTTCAAATTCTTGACGAAAGTCTTCACAATCTTTTTCGCTAATTGCAAGGTTTCTACTCACTTGACTGGTTACAAGACGAATAGAACCATTCTCATGCATATCCGCAAGATAGTCGCCATCCTCTTCTGGTGTGTCAATACGAGCTACTAGTGTGGAAATATTGATAAACTGATTCAGCCATCCAGTGACCATATGTCTGATTCCCTTTCCACTTGCCTGAGATACCATTGGAGGCTCAAAATTCACACTTTTCCCAACCAGCTTCATGTTGACTTCAATAAGAGGAGCCAGTTCCTGATTTGCAATTTCCTCTTTGTCCATCTGATTTCGCAGGTATTGCGCAGATTTGACAATTGCAACAACCAACCCTTCAATGATGATGTCATTCACGTAATCAACATAGGCAAGCCATTCCGGCTTGCTCCGTGCAATTGCAATAACTTTGTTCGATGCATCCAAGTGCTTGTGAAGCTCTTCGCCACCTTTCTCAATAGTTTTCTCCCTATTCTTCATAAGGGTGAAGTGAATTTGTTGAAACTCGTCCACAGTGTAGGTCTTTCCAGCTTTCCTATCCATCATAACATTTTCAGACCATGTATTTAGAACAGATTGGGTTGATGCCACGTTGCTCTTAATATCGGTCAAAATAGCCTTGGTCTCTTTTACCAATGACATTGCCTGAGTGATGAAATCCGAGATCTGGTTGCTTTTCCAATTGAGATGTTTTATACCTTTAAGAAGAACTTTGTCGATCCCATCAAGCTTCTGCTGGATCAACGGCCTCTCAACATCAAGAACCGTGTCAAGGATTGAGTTATAAATGTTGACAATCAAATCAAGATTTCCAGTCTGTTGACGATAAGTTTCCGCCATAGAATATATCGTCATTGCAGATTGAGGGACCTCCAAGCCCAACAACAAGAAATATTTGGTTTCACGGAGAAGACAGACTAAGGCAGGATCAAAGTTGACGTACACCCAAGATGTGTTCGGATCACGTCTCAAAAGAGACTGCTTCAGTTTCTCAGCAGAAGTGTTTTCAATCTCCAAAGCCCATTCTTCTCGGTGTTGGCGTTCGTATTCCTGTTGAAACTATTATCCTGGATTCAAACAATGTGCCAGAAAAAAATCTCACCTGGAGACTATTCAAGATAGCAGAGTAGGCACGAATGCACTCTTTTCCTTCCTCGCCTGGCATAGCGAGCTTAGCGAGAGGAAATTATTCAAACTCGATCACTTACTATCAAGTATTGACTTGTTCATAGCCTTTAGTCGATTCATCGGTTCCTGTTGAAGGAATCGTAAGGGCAAACAACAGCCAGACATCAAAAATACCTGAACTCTCTCCATCAATCCTCGCACCCACGTCACCGCTCCGGCTCTTGGAGGAGCATTATCATTGATAGGAGGGTTGTCCTTGAACATGACAAATATCTCCTGAACTTGTTTTAGATCCATGGCGTAGGCATTCAACAGATCTGCATTCTTCTTTTCAAGGTCTGCCTGTATGATTTCCCTTTCCAACAAACCCTCAAAGCTGTCTAACAACTTGAACCTCATTAGAACTGTCACGCTGTCATCGAAAGCCTGTGTGATGACTGAAGCAAGCCTCCTCTCAAGTTCATTGATCTGGCAGCGAAAAGTGTAAAAGTCATCATCAAACTGCTTGGACTCAACGTCCATGATATCATATTTTGCTTCAATAAATACTTTGATAGACTGAAGGAAATCAACGTGAGTCTGTCGAACGCTGGTCGTCAACATTTTTCCTTTAGTTCCACCAATTTCAACACCACGATCACCGCCTAGCTTGTTAAATTGCAAAATGGTCTGCATCAGATCCAAAACATCGTGGCAACGTTCGAGGAATGAATCTAATCGTGAAAAAAGAGCTGAGTTCTGAAATCTCCATGGATTTGAAGGACATTCTATGTTTGCTTTGCTCTTGTAGTCGAAGTATGCGCTTTTAAATGCAACCCCAACCTTCAAGCACAGCTTTAGATTATCAACAGCGTCTTGAGGTTCTTCAATATTCTCGAAAAGAGTCGCACCAGATACAAAGTTGCAGGCTTGTGAGATCAAAGTGTTACATAATTCTCTCAAAATGACAACAAAACGAGCTGGCGTATTGTAAAATTTTGAATTCTTCCATATCAAAAGAAGTGTATGCATGGTCGGTTTGAAATGTGGAATTAAATCTTGGAATTGTTCAGCTCCAAGCATGTTGACATATTTGACCATCGGCTCCAAGTACACAAGATTATCGTTTGCCTCCATCCTTGCCTGTGCTACTTCTTTGCACAATCGATTGAACGCGGGAAAATAGGTGCTTTTGGTGACCTCCAGGACCTTGACAACTTTCCTAATCTTTTCACCAACAAGTTGATTGTGCAAAGAGTTCAAATTCTCTGCCTTGTTTTTCCAAAATTCTAGTTCGACTTCTGGTCCAGGATTTCCTTGCTTGAGCGCACTTTCAGGATCCATCTTCAGAATATTCTTGATTTGCTTGGTCCACATGACAACTGCAGATTCCAGAACATGAATTCTATCTTTGTCCCTTCCAGCTGCATCCATCAGCGCTGCACCATGATTTGGTGGTAAAGGCAAAAGGGTTTTCCCCTGCGTGTTGCCGATAGTGATGTACGTTTGCGCGAGAAAGCGATGAATACTTTCGGTCACCTCTTTCGTGATCACTTCTGGCCAGCCTTCTTGGTTCCTTGGGTTAGTCAAAAGAGGAAAATAAACTTCTTGCGAGATAGCCAAGAATTGCTCAAGTGGCTGCCCAACAAATTCACAGAAACTCATATCTTGAACAAAGTTTTCCTTGGAAACGGATCCATTGCTCTTCAACAAATAGATCGCCTTTGTTTTGAAATTTTGAGGCGGAGAAGCTGTCACAACGCATTGATCTTTCGATTGCAAGTATATCCAAAGCAATTTCTCTGAGGGATCATCGAAAAAGCCATTGAGCAGCTTTACACCTTTTTCATCGTCCTTGATTCGCTGAGCGATTTCGAGTTTACAGGGAAGCAGCGTGGAAGTCTGTTCGCTGATGTAATCGATTCGGGGATCAGAGGGCTTCGAATGTGACTCGTCTCCCATCGCCGAATATTTGCTTCAGGGTTCAGCTTCTTTCTGCTGTGCCTTTAGTAGTTCCTCCTCGCAATGCCTTCGATCCTTAAGCTCGGGATCAACTCGAATTCTTCCTCCCTGATTCTTGCATTCCACCGCGTCCAACCGCCGCCGCCCCTTCCGCCGTTTGTATCACTGAAAAGGGGTGGCGCCAAGCAGTCCTATGCTGCTAGACTTGTGTACGGGTGGTTTTATGTACAAACGCACTATGAGAGTTGGGGTACAGTGCAGAGGTAATATCAAACGACTGCCTCTGAGAGGGGTGGGGTCCACCTCAAGATTGACTAGCTGGCTCACTTTGAGGAAATTCCTACATATGATTCGAGCTAAATCATTCCAGGTGTCTTTTTGTCTTCAAAACAAAGATCGCGAGGTGAGCTTGCGAAAACTCTTTGCATTTTTTTAGTCAAGATGTACTTTGATACAAATGGGTGGGTCCGTAATTGAGAAAAGGTGGGGTTGTTCAAGGCGATCTGGTACAAAGCATGGGATAAAACTGTTTGATCTTTTTGAAAATCAAATTTCAAGAAAACACGCGGAAATTATCCAAGAAATGGAAACTAGCAATTGTATATTTCAAAATAAAAACAAAGTTTGAAAATTGACAAGGAAAAGACGACAAACTTCGTCATTATCAAAAGCATCCGGTGCAGCTACTGCTTGATGCAGGCACCTGTGGCACTTGTCGCAGTTGCACACTGCACGCCGCATTCAGGAAGACCATAAACATCCAAAACAGCAAGTAAACAAAAGAACTACATCATAGAGAACGAAAAGCAGCCAAGAATCCTGTCCCTTCACCTTGTGAATTGATTGGTATGCCGCGACGTCTCGACCCAGATTCCCGAGCGCTCCCTAGGAGCGACGGCGGAACCCTGCATTTTGCCACGAGTTTAGCTTGTATGGTCTGATATAACTCGATTGCCTAAACTGAACATATGATTTCAGATGAGGGAATGAAAAGTCGCCCGACGCAAGACGAATTCTTGTTGACAGCTTCACACATTCTAAAATCTCCCCACAACTACAATCCAGTTCACGCCCACAATACCAGGTACGAGCTTGATTTTCATTTGCAATCCGTATGATATTCAGAATGTAACAAGGTATAAGCGTTGGTATAGTTCAACATTCACAGAGCCCAAGAGACAAGGATTTGAGATTGGAAGCTGGTGCAATGTGACAATTCTAACCATAGTGTGCATGTTATGTTTTGGATTAGCTGTTATCTGCTTAGGTATACAGAATTCATCGAAAAAAACATGTTCTAATCATTACTTAGTTGGTTCGGAAGGATATAGCATGGTGATCAGTCCCATGATCTTCATTTCCAGCGATTATCACAGCTTGCAAGATTTGCACAGTGCAGTACAGAATCTACAGAAAGAACAGAAATTCATAAATCAGGAAATTGAAAGCTTTCTTCGATACAAGAACTACATCGAGAACACTAGCCAAAGGGTATTTCCTGTTTGCACTTGTAATACTTCATACAGTAAGATGTTGTCAGTTGTCGTCTTTGCTGACGCAAATTGACATTGCAAACCTGGAAACCGATTCTGCGATTAACCAAATGGTATGACCCATGTCTTGGAGGGATAAAGACTTATTTTTTTTTTCTGATACAACGTTTTCAGACTGTCTTTGATAAAAAAGTTGATAATTTCTCGACTTCCGTACTTACTGAAGTGGAAGATGTCATGAACGAATTACGATCACAAATCGGAATCAATGAAACTGAGAATACAGAAAACTTGGATTCTCTTCAGCGTGAAATATCAGAACTTAGCAAGATTTTAACGCTTTACCACGACAGAAAAGCTACTGTTGAGGTTGTGCATACCGTTCTTGAGGAAAATAAGAAATCTGATTTCTTGCAGAGCACCTTTGATGCGAGAAGCAACTTGATCAATGGCGTGTCTGAAAACATCGATCTCAACCACATTCAGCAGTCCCTGCGGGAAACAATAGAAACTTTTGCTAGGAATGCTTCAGGATTAAGGTACCTGAGCTTATTGCTGAACCCTATGACTTGACACATCGATGTGCAGATTCTTCGATGAAGTCAAAAATGATGTCATTTTGCAAAGCGTAAAAGAAATTTCTAAACGGGAACAAATACTAATCCAGAAAACAATGGACGCAATGTCGTACGATAAATTGATCCCGGTAAGGCAATCCAGCGACTTGCTTGTCATATCGCTAAACTCATTCTAGAAGGAGTCGGCCTTCGAAGCTCTACGACATTTGTACAGGAATCAAATTGCTGGCGTGGACTGGATGCTTTCGGTGAACGGAGCAGAGGTTTTAGATCATTCGCCATCATTCGACACATGCTCAGGTGATCGACACTGGTCGACACTTGTGGATGAAAAGCTCAATGATTTTTACTTTTCGAAACTTATTGCCCTCCACTGATTCCAAGTTTCAGATCATTCATGGTACGGTACATGGTTTGTATGCGCATCCATGAACGTCTTGCAACCTCCATTGCAATCGCAGCCGTCGACAGCACTTCAAGTAATGCATTTGTAAGACTTTTGAGAATGCCTAACAAATAGACAGTTATCACCGTCTTGGACAGATGGAAAATCATCAAGCGCTTTAGGTCATTGTTGGGCTTTGAAGGGATCAAATGGGTTTCTTGAGGTCATTGACACGTGCTTTTCCTCGCTTGCCTAAATGTGCCTCGAATGTCTAGGTAAAGCTTGCACGCCCGGTGGTTCCCAAGAAAATATTGGTGCACAGCATTCCCATCGAAATTTCCCCTGGACATGGGAAAAGTGCAATCAAGAACTTCGCTATTATGGTACGATCTGTTGAAGGTACTTGCAGAACTTCGTAATTTGAATTCGACAGGGGAGGATTGATGGGCAATACCACATGGTGCTAAATGCAACCCATAACCCCTCATCGCTGACATCCCTTGAATCAAATGAGGGATTCGAAGTCGAAGTCGAGGTAAATTCGCTCTGTCCAAGTTGATTGTTGATACTTGTGCTCATCAGAATCAAATCATGATACAACAAGTTCGAGTGGAGGTGTACTCGAATCATGGCAATGAGTATTTCACTTGCTTTTACCATATCGCATTGATTGGGGAAGATTCTTCTGCTGAAGTTGCCTAGTTATGTAAAGGTTGTGTGCAACATAAATTGCTTTCATATGTATGGCCGTCTCAATTCACTTCTACGCTCATGTTAGTTTACATTGAACTTCAATTTATACACATGAAACATAAATTCAAACTAAAGAAATATGAAGCATTGGAATATTAGAAGTACACAAGCATAGTCATTCACATATGAACGTCTGAGCTGATTCAATAATCTTCTTCCTTGGTTTGCATTCTTGTCTTGTCTCGTCTTGCGATAATGTAGAGTGAGAGTTCCTGTCCACCAAAAAAAACCCTACCCCTCCGTCGTGGCCAACCTTTTAGACGAACTCCCGATGGTATATCCCTTCTCACTTTATCATATCAGACGACTTAATAGAATCACGACCTTTGCCTTATCACTCTATCTCACCGATGTTCCCTACCCCCACCATGGCATTGGTACCACCCCCCAAATATCAAAGATCACCCCCTCTTCATAGAATAGATACCCCATTGAAGTATACAGGGGTCATCACCACTACCCCCTCTCATCACCCTCGCGCCTCTGCAGCAGCTTCCGTCATGCTCCGCGCCGCCGTTCGCCGCGCAGGTTGGCTTCAAGCATGCGTGTGCACGAGAACTTGTTTCCTTCCATTATGTCTCCCTCTTCGTTTCTCTCTCCTACCGTTCTATTGCTTTCCGAGGAAAGACCTTGTAGGTTCCTGCTCCTTGCTGCCATGGCCGCTGCTCCCCCCCTCCTTCCCCGGGATCATGATTGGTTTTCTCTCTTATAACCTGAGAAATTTGAAAGAGATATCTATCTGCGTATTGTGCATGGCGAGTGATTATGATTTGGTTTCGATTTCTTGGCTTCTCTTGATCTTGGGAATCCTCACTTGTTCAATTACTCTTCTTGTTTATGCCATCAGGACTGAACCCTTTTTGTCGTTTGCAATAATTTTGCTTGGCTACAATGAGCCAGGATGCTTGGTTGTTTTGCTATCACCATGTAGTATTTTCTTGTCCAAATCGCTTGATATGCGTGTGATTTTTGACGGGGGAGAAACATCATTGAGTTCGGGTTTTGCAATTTCCAAGAGGTCCTAACGGTGTTGTATGATTTAGATGGTTTGAGGCGTCTTTCATCCATGAATCATGTGAATCCAAACATCAAGACGTCAAACGATCAGTTATGGTACCGATTCCACAACGTATGGCCTGTGCAGGTTCCCATGAACATGCCCATGCCTGGGACGCCTTCAGCCGAGGTGGGAGCGGCAGTCTCTGAACCGACCACCAAGGTCTCAACGCTACCGAACGGAGTGAGGGTCATTACGGAGTCTAAGGCTAGCATGGGTTGCTCTATGGCTATCTTCTGCGCAACCGGCAGCCGATCTGAGACTCTTGAGACTCACGGAGCGTCTCACTTCATGCAGCATCTGGCTTACAAGGCCACGGTGGACAAGTCGCACTTTGGTCTGACTCGTGCCATTGAAAAGCTGGGTGGTCATGTGGCATGTGGATCCAGCCGTGATTGTATCACTTATGCTGGAGAATGTCTTACCTCAAATGCCGGTCAGTTGTTTGGTCTCATGGCGGAGACATTTTTGTACCCACGTCTTGAGAAGCTGGATATTGACAATGCGCGTACCTTGGTCCTTGCTGATATTCAGAATTCGATGAAGAATGGTAACTCATTGCACAGTTTTCTATTGGACTTTGGTGTCTTATTTGTACTCAACAGGTGCATTTGCCGTCCAAGATGTTCTTCACACCGTTGCCTACCAAGGTAATCTCCGATCCGAGTCTTTCAACAGTGGATGACTTTCCGTTTGATCAGGCCAGACTCTTGGTGCACCGATGCTCTGCAATCCTCATGCTGCCGAGATGATGAAAGGCAGCGTCATCGAGGCTTTCAAGCAGACGACCATCAGTCCGCAGGTTTCTATCCCATTCCTTTGTCCGTCCCTGATCTTCGTTGGTCATCTATAGAGGATCATCGTGTCTGCAGTCGGAGTTGATCATGATCGCATGGTCGAGTATGCTGATAAGGTGGAATCCTGAATTGTTGCTTAGTCGTTTTTGAATGCTGGTGGATAGGCTTTTGGTGAAATGCAACCAAGAAGTGTGTCGGAGCTCGTAGCTGCTCAATATGGTTGGGATTTGTTTTGAGTGTCCTTCATTTCTTCGCCTCTTTGACCATTCAAGGACAGGTGGGGGCGACTGTCGTGTGCCATCAGAGCCTGGACAGGTGCAGTGATTCATTTCATCTTTTTTGAGACTCTCTTTCTCAACTTGGGTTCATTAGGTTCACCTTGCTTTGGGATTTGAAGGAATGCCCTGCACTGCCAAGGAGGTATGCGATATGCTCCAAGTTCATGCAAGCTACTGGATTTATGTTTTGTTTAGTCTGTTGCGGCTGCCGTTCTGCAGTCCCTGTTGGGCGGTGGAGACCAGTTCTCTGCAGGCGGACCAGGTAAGCTGTGATTGCAATTTGCCTCCCTTAAGTTTTTTCCTTCCTAGGCAAGGGTTTGACTTCAAGAATATTTAGAAACGTCCTGTCACACCCAGAGGTATAAAATGTTCGGAGTGGGATTTTGTCAGTTAGCTCAAGAGACTACTACAGATTCTGACTGCAACGTCTTTCAACGTTTCATATAAGGATTCGGGACTCTTTGGTATTAAATGTGTCTAGGGCTTTCTTGCTTCCTAACCTTTTTTCTTATCATAGGAATTCAAGCAACCGTGAATGCTCATGATGCGCAAATGGCGATCACGTCAGTGGCCGAAGAGCTTACCTCTCTGCGAGGAGGCTTCAGCGAGGAAGAAGTGACCAGGGCTAAGAATATGACGATATCGGCCCTCTTCTTGAACCTTGAAACCATGGGAATTGCTACTGAGGACCTCGGAAGACAAATCATGTACTACGGTAGCCGCAAGGATGGAAAAGCTCTTGCTGCCGAGGTCTCTGCCATCACGTCGCAGGATCTGCAGAAGGTTGCGAAACAGATTCTTTCTTCACCGCTTTCGTTTGCTGCATACGGAGATGTTGCTTACGTAAGGCCCTTATGTCCCTGGTTCTATCTTCTTTGAACTTACTGGTGTCGACAGGTTCCAAGCTACAGCGAAATCGTTGCCTTGACAAGAGCATAATTCTAGAACTTTCGGCATTCCCCGAATAAACTTTGCTAGTACTGATCCTTTCAATATCTACTTTTTCTGCGACGTTGATATCTTTTCTCGAATTTTCTTTTCTATGTGTCAATATTGAACTGTTTCCTCTACTCCAGGTTACGCTCTATAAGCCATCGTTCCATCGCGAAAAATGTGCCTGCGGTTTTGTCAGTTACGCTTGGAACGAAAGGCATATTGAATTCACCTTCAGCTATCCTCGAGCTCAATTCGGACGCGAACATGGTAGTTTCATCGTGATTGGCGTGGACAAGAGTCACGTCGATGGCGGAAGTCTCTGGAGTTCCCTGTATCTGAGTCGCACTCAATGAACGACGACAGTCTCTTCTTCCCTTGCCTGTTTCGCCCTGGGTTTGGCAGAGCAAAGGGCCTCAACAACAGAAGCTTCTATCCACGTGCAAGCGTCGACTTCTGAGGGTTCCATGGTAAGGATCTGAAGCAAGTGTCAGTGAATTGGAATATTTCATTCTGTGATGGCAACAGGTTTCTCAGTCGTTAACGTCGCCACCATGTAAACAACGAGATAATGCCGTCGAAGTCCTGATCCAGGGCGAGGTGGCCATGTTCCTAAGTCGCCTTTGATTGAAGGTGATCAACAGGCAGAGTTTTAGTCACCCTCCGCATAATTCCACTTGTGATCACCACAAAAAGTAGCTTCGAACAACCCAAGAATACGTAACGAATTCTTCTCTATCGAAAGGCCCACCTCTTCTTTCACTTCACGAGCTGCTGTATCGAATAGATCCTCTCCCAAATCAACATGACCTCCTGGTAACACCCATGCTCCAGGATACGTTCGCATCTGTTATGAGGGTCACGCACAAGGACTTACCGCAGTCAGACTTCACTGATTGCGATCGTCTGGTTATAAGAATCCTTTTCGCAGCATCCTCGACCATCACAGATACTGCAACTCTGACTCCCTCTGATTCTTTGCAGAGACATTCAAGAATTCCATCATCCACTAGAGATGCTGGACAAGGTTTGGCATGCTGCAAGACAGTGCAGAAGCTAATGACGGGAGGTCAGAATGTCGATGCAGGAGAATTATTCCAGCACCTCCCTTCCATCTGTTTCGGGCATGTTTCTGCAATGGGTAATATCTTCAATTTTGAACTTGTTTGATCGTACATGACCTTCTCATTGAACCAAATTCACTCCATGGGTACACGAGAAGGAATTCATACCTCGACTGTACTGCAGAATTCATAATCTTCCACATTGAATCCCAAATGCTCAAATCTATTGGGCCACGTACCATGATGCTTTCGTCCCGCATCCAGACCGATGAGCATCCGCTTGATGCATCGTCCTGCCGACAGAACATCCTGTTGAGTAAAGTTGGTATCGTGAGGATCATCTCCGGAAACTTCTCACTCGTCTGTGGACTCCTCCACATCCCTTCTACTTCACGTCTACTTCCTACCACGCATATGCCATCCAGCTCTTGTCTGCCTTCTTCCCTCATCTCCTCACCTCGCCTTCTCCTATGCACGCCACTGGTCCAGCCTTCATCGGAGCAGCCATCTTCACATGCTCCGATGTGGCTCGGAAATTTCAGTCACTCCGCCCGGCCGGCGCCAGGCCCCGGGGTGACCAACGTGACCTCACGGCGGCGGCCGCCCGGCCCCGGCGGGGACTCCGACGGGCCCTCGGGCCTGGCGGCCGGCCCGGCCACGGTCAGTCCCGGCGACGTACTAGCGGCACAGCCGCTCACGGTAGTACTGCACTGCTTTCAAGTTCCCCAGATTCGTGAGTGGAGCCGCAGTTGACTCAAGGGTGGGGCAGCGGCAGCCTCAGTGGTGTGTTTGAAGTTTGAAAATTTATCGGAGTTAATTCAGCATGAACGGTCCCACCGTGGCTCCGGCCCGGTAGTACTAGCTGGACGCTCTCAACCTTCGACCTTGCTGCACTCCCCCTGCTCGTTCTCGCGATACCTGTGACACAAGGATCGTCAGCTCGGCTCGCTGCTCGGAGTCTCCTGTCGCTCACCCGGCAGCACAAATACAACCCGACGTCCCCTCGTCAAAGACGGAGTGCGGGCCTGTCACATGTCACTCGCGGCCAAACAGCATTCCCTCCTCCTCACCCATCAGCTTCCAGCAGAACTGCTGCCCCGGAGTTGCGGACTCGTTCAGCTGAGCTTCTGCCTGGCTCGACTCGCCAGTAGGAGAGAGCTGCTCATTTACAGCAGTAGTTGGGCTGGTGGTGGTGGTGGTGGTGGTGGTGGTGGTGCTGCTGCTGCTGCTGCTGGCGGTGGTGGTGGTGGTAGAGGAGGAGGTGGAAGTGGTGTTGGCGGTTGAGTTGGCAGTCTGGCCGACCTTGTTCTTGAGCTTGGCGAGCTTGCGAGAGATCAGCGGAGAGGATCAAGGCAGCAGTCCTCACCTGCTCCTCAAACGCCTCCTGGCTCAGCGGCGGCGGCTTCTCTGGTTGGGAAGATTCGGGGGGAGGAGGAGCAACCTCGTCCTGAGATGAGGCGCTGGCGTCTTCGGGCCCCGTCAGGTTCCTCCGCAGCTTCTCGACGGCAGTCTCCGCTTCCTTTGCCTGCGGGGGTCAGCGAGCTGCCGAGATAATCTGAGAGCGCACCTTGCTCATGATCTGGATGGCCGACATGGCGTCCTCCTCGAAGAACTGTGAAGACATCAAAGGAGGGAGGGAAGGTAGGGGGAGGATACCTTCTTCCACCTCTTCTCCGCCTCTCTTTTCTTCCTTCTTTCCTGCACCATCTCCTTCAGAGCGAGCAGCGTGATACTCTACCTCCTCCTCCACCTCCATCTTCGCAAGGCGACTCTCGTTCGTCGACGAACTAGTGTCGTTGCGCGCCTGGGATGAAGTCAGCAGAGTTTCATGTCTGAAAGTCTCGTACAGGATCATGAGAAGTGTTGGAAGACGCGCTTGCATTGAGATCTCCAGGGGAGGCAACTGCTTCCTCCATTCTCCTCCTCTCTCTCTCCATCTCAGCTTTTACCACCTGTGACATGTCATCTCATCGAGAAGCAGCATGCCGATTCTCACCGTCACGTATCCTTCAGCCCTGTCAAACATCTTGGCCGTGCTTGACATCTCAGACGCTTTGATCTTGTCCGCCTCCTACATTCCCTCCCATCACAAACAGTTCACTTCGTGCAGCAACAATCACATCTCTCGCAGCTTTCATGTCAGCAGAGACTCGTCGCCTCGCCGCCTCTCTGTCCTCGTCACTGATCTCTTGCTTCTTCTCCTTCTTCTCCTTCTTCTGTCGTCTTGGCACGCATCTCGTCTTATCCCTCGACAGCTTGTACCCCTCGCTGCCATCTCATCACTCGCCTTCACGGCCCTCCCAGCTGCCCATCACCTGCAGTCGCACATCTCTCCGTCGAAGAAAGCTCCCTCGCCAAACTGCTGCTGACACTGAGTGTCCAGGCTCGGCAAGCATCTGCCGTCTTGATCAACCAAGAGCAATGGAAGGAGGGGAGGGGAGGAGAGGAGGAGAGGAGGAGGGGAGGAGGGCCGGACGGAGGGAGGGGGGGGAGGGAAGGAGGTAGGGAAGGGAGGGGGGAAACAGAGCATCATTCAACTGCATGTAGACTCGAAGGATTTTGGTCTTACCCTTCCTTTGTCGCCACGTATCCTTCCTTGCAGACACAACTTTCCTCGCCGTCCCACATTGCTGCTTCTCCGAACTGCGACTTACACGCCTTTTCGAACCTTTCCTTGTCAGAGGCTCCATCCTCTTCCCCCGCTCTCTCAGACAGCCCCGACGCTTCACCTCCCATCGCATGCTCCGTGTCCGCCATCGTCCCGCCCACCATGGATCTGCCGGAGAAGAAGTTCCAGAACTCGGAGAAGTCAATGTAGTTGTCATGGTCGAGGTCGTGCTTCAGTAGTGCTCTCCTTCCCTCCTCTCCTTCCCCCGCAGCAACTCCAAACCGTTGGAAGTCGATGCTGATGGAGCGCTTCAAGACCTCCTGGTCGTCCAAGCTGGTTCGGGAGTGAGTTGCAGGCAAGTAAGGCAGGAGATGCTCACAGTGCGTTCTTGTCCGAGTCGAGAAGATCGAAGTACTTCTTCACCTCCATGAGGTCATGAAATCCTCCTGAGAGAGGAGAGACCAAATTGCTTTCTCCTGCAAGAAATATCAGCTACTAAGGCAGAAACTGCACGGAGAGAAGAGGAAAAGCGAACATGGGAGGAAAGGATAGAAGCACAACGGGAGCAAGAGAGTCGAGAGACGTGGAAGGGAGTAGAAAGGAGGAAGGATAAAAGGTGATGATTGAAAGGAAATTCTGCTTCACCAGATTTGCTGCTTTTGTCGACGCAGTACCCGGAGGAGTCCTGAGGAGTTCGGCGGAATCAGACACTGCACACCTGGTCCTCCACGCTCCTCCATCCTCCACGCTCCTCCATCTCCTTCTTGACCTCATCCCTCTTCCCGCTCCCTCTCAACCTCCGATCTCGTTCCCCTCACCTCTTTGTATCCCTCAGCGCACGTACAGTTGTTGATGCGATCGAAGAGGGAAGACGGGCCTCGCCTCGTTCTGCATCCTTCGTCCGATCCCTCAGTGCAGGTGCCGTTGATGTCCTGAGTGAAACCTCGCCTGCACCTGCGACGCTCCCAGTGAGGGCAGCGCGACGCTATCGGACAGGCAGAGCAGCGAGACGATATGTAGCAAGGGGAAGAAAGAGAGGGAGGAAGGGGAGGGGAGACGTTGAGGAACGCAGCAGGTGGGAGTGCACAAGAAGAAAGGACTGGAGGTTCAACTGACGAAGAGGAGGGAAAGGGCCAGAAAAACTACAAGGAGAGCGAAGTTGATTAAACTTGAAAAAGCATGACGGGATCGAGGGCAGAGGATACATGAATGGAGGCAACGAGGAGCATCAAACAGTTGGGGGAGGATGAGGAGGATGAAGGAGCACATCCACCTGCATGTTCGCACGCCATCGAACACAGCCTGTTCGCCTAAGATCCTCCTGCAAGTCTCGTCCGACCCAGGCACGCATCTTCCTTCCTCCTCCACCAGGCCTAGTCCGCACACGCAGTTCCTCTCCCCGTCGAACATGCCGCCCTCTCCCAGCCGCCTCCTGCTGCCACATCAGAGAGAGGCTTTCTCCGCCCCTTCCATGCTTGCTCTCATTCAACCCACAGATTTCACTTCCTCCTCTTCCCATTGCCATTCCCATCTCTATCTCTCCTCCTCTACCCTCCATCTTCACTCTCCTTCCCCCCTCTGTCGTACGCACATGCAAATCTCATCGTCTCCTTTGATACATTCCATATTTCCCGCCGATCCCTGGGCAAGAAATCCTCTCCTGCATCTGCATGCATCTTGCCCATCGAACTCTACTTCTCCTGACATGATTGTCTGACAGACAAGATCGTTGGATCGAACGCATTTGCCCTGGGAACAAGTTCAACCAGAATCATTGATTGAACATCAAACACAACGAGAGCATCACAACCACCATAATCGCAACTACCATCATCAAGAACAACTTCGTCAAAATCATGCTGATCATCAGCAACTTCTTCCAGATACTTGGGTGATCACCTTGAGATACATCCTTCCAACTCCACAGGAGCAAGCGACCCCCCCGTCAAAGCTGACATCGTCACCGTAATTCTCTCTACAAACATTGTCTGAAGCTTCGAGACAGGTTCCTCCGATGTCGGTGAAGCCTCGCTTACATCTGACAACATGTCAATTCTGCCCTCCTTGACAGGCTTTTGTTTCACTTGCAACTTTGCGACTGATGGTCGAAACGAGAGTTTGGTCCCATCAGGCTTCCGCACAGAGAGTCAGTTCCAGGAGAGCATCTTGTTCAATTCAAAATCTCTCAGCACAAGTCGGAGAAGATACATGAATCAATACTTCTCGGCAGCGTCAAGAATGTAGCCTCGCGCACATTTGCAGTTGTTGTTGCCGTCAAACTTGGTATTTTTGCCATGAAGTAGCTGACAAACAGCATCGTTTGTCGCAGAACACCTGGACAATGTCATCTTCAACTTCTCCACCAAGGCGACATCTTCGGATGTCTTACTTGTCGTTGATCAGCGAGAATCCACTCTTGCACTCACAAGTTCCAGTGAAACGGTTGTACTCGGCCTGATCTCCGTACTCCTGATGTGTTGAGAAGGTGACTAGACGTGATTCAAGATTTCTCCATCTTACTGAGACGCAGATAGAATTATTGCCGACCACGCACATCGTTCCTTCCTCCCCCCTCACTGCAAGGCTTCCTCGCTTGCAGATACAAGCCTGTGACCTTGTGGTGACGATCGACCTCTCGCCTGCTAACTCTCACCTGGTTTCCATCGTACTCTGCAAGCCCGTGCATGCTTTCACACAGCTCATTCTTCCCGGGCTCACAAACGCCTTCTGCGTTCATCATGTATCCATGGTTGCTGCTCTATCAATCAGCTCCTTGCCCTGCCATCTCACCCCCCTCCCCCCCCCTCCCCTCCTCCTCCTCCTCACCACACGCAATTCTGTCCGTCAAATCTTGAGTGCACACCGAGACCCAGTGAAGCGCATGCTGAGCTTGAGCCCATGACGCACGAGTTGTCGATGAGGACGAAACCCCTCTGGGAACGAGAGGGTGAAATGTCACAATGCATTCAAGAAGAATGCGGCAAGTGAAATTCAAGATGAGGACGAGACAAAGTTTTGACATTAGACCAGCCATGACCACAGGAGACAAGGTTCAACAATCGTCGTTGGTCGTCGTCATCGTCATCGTCATGTTCATCATCGTCGTCATCGTCATCATGTTCATCGTCATCATCATTGGAAGAACAATCACTCAGGGAGAATCAATTCCTACAAACATTGAACGTCCTTATCATCCTCTATCTTCTCTCACCATGCAGCGACAGTGATTGTTTCCGTCGAACTCCACATTTTCACCGAACGCCTTGGAGCACAACTTGTCTGATCCTCCCACGCACTTCTTTCCCCCTGTGACATCTGACGTGTACCCTGCTTGACACTTGCATCCTCCCTGCTCATCTTGTCAGACCTGCAGACAACAAAAATACCATCTTTCCTTTCCATCCGCTTCATAGCGCTTGCCGAAAACTTTCAGACATTCCCCGTTGCTATCTATCATCCCATCGAGAATTTTCCTCGCTTGAAGCTCGTGCTCCTTTGAGGAAACGTGCTCCAACACCCCCTCTCCTTTCCCCTCGTTCTCCTGCTTCCCTCTCCTCTCCTCCATGACATCTGCAAGGTTTCGGACACACATGCTTCCATTCAGAAAGTGACCGTCCTCGCAGTCGCACATCCCCTGGAAGTCATGCGGCGATCTCTGCCGCCACCTTCCCATTTCCCCATAGCGCTGAGGTACAGTCAGAACCCTCCAGCAGGTCACTCGACCCCAGCTCACCATCCTGCAGACGGCGTGCTGAAGCATGAAGATGGACCTGAACCGCTCGCTGTACTTCTCACTCTGCTTCCCTGCTTGCGATGTGTCACCCCGACGATCAGGCAGCTCGAGAGCGAACAGACCAGGAGAGATGAGCGACGAAACAGGCTGGCAGACTTGTCTCTCATCCATGGTGTAGTTCTGCGATAAGGTCAACCATGACTTTCTCCATTCGGTGTGCTGTTCCTGCATGCAACGACACCCTCCCCTTTCGTTCGGAACTGCCGCAGGTCCAGCTGCAGCAACCAACACCGTGAGAATTTGGGCCCCGGAGCCGGGCTGTTGAGAATGGAGCCTTGTCAAGGCATTCTTACAGAGGTTCTTGCAGACTTCATTCAGTGCTTTGCGCACGTACACCTTCTCCACGATCATCTCCGCGCATTGCTGTGTGCAACCGAGTCAAGATCAGTTTCCTCAGCACATGCAAGTCACCTTGGCAGTGTAACAGCCCAGCGACTCGAGCTGTCGGGAGGTCTCAGCCTCTTAATCATGCACCATCTCCCTCACCTGCTGCTCCGTTGCCTTCTGATCCAACGGCATGCCATAGCGTTCGAGCATCCTCTCCAACAACTGAGTTCGCAGAGTTATCCCCGAGGAGATACCCGACATCCTCCACCTTCTCATACGAATGAGCGCCGGCAAAATCTCTCCAGAGAGCAGCAACATGCGCTGATAGATGTCTGCAGGAAGAATGAGTCTACTGGAGTGACAGGGGTGTAGACGGACAAGACGTCTTGTTTTCCGAAGGTCACTCTATCATACACCAACACATCTTGCGGAGAAGTATCGTGCTGAAGAATCTCTTCCAAGGTGGGAATCTTTCCAAACCAAGGCGGAGGCACGTATGATCTCTGAGCAACACTTTTCCTGCTGATTGGATGCAATCAAAAGACCAGCCATAGTCTGGAAACACAATCAGGAACCTGTCCGTCCTGTTCCCCCCATGTATGCCAATGCGAGATGTTCTCCTTGCAGACTCAAGACAAACATCTGCACTCCTTCCTGACAAAGCATTCTCTTCGCTCGCAATGCAGCGAAACCCAGTCTCTACTTGGCACTCTGAAGAGCATCCATCGCCATCGTTCGTGTTACCTACCATCGCAATCAGAACTCTAGCATACTTGTCTCATGAATCTACCGTCATCACACTCTTCGTTTTGTGCTCTCCTACCATCGCCGCATGCTTTATCCATCACCTTCGAGCATGTCTGCACGGATCTCCTCTTCGGATTTGTGCTCTCACATACGTAACCAGGTTCGACCTGACAGCTGGCGGAACAACCATCCCCGTTCTTGAGATTTCCATCTTCGCAGCCTTCGACGTCTGCGTGTCGAGCATCCCCACAGATTGCCAGACAATCTTCTCTCGACGCGCTTCCGATGCTGATCGTTCCGTTCCCACCAGGACAAGAAAGGCAAGTCTCCGAGCCGGAGGAGGGCTGGTAGGTGCCTCTTGAGCAGAGGGAGCAAGGTTCTACCCCCTCGCGCCCGTAGGATCCTGGCTTGCAGTTTGCAACACAGTCTGCAGGAGATGTCGATCCTCTGCCGACGGTGCTCAGACCAGACGGACATTTGTCGCACTTGGTCGAACCTTTCTGTGACTGATATTTGCCTCTTTCGCAGGGCCAACAAGGCTCTTTGCCGCTAATTTCATTTTCATCCGGAATGAGACTGGAAGTGCCAGCTGGACATTCTGATCTTTTGGCCCCACATACCGAGGACTTTGAACCATAACAAACATTCTCAATAAGCGGCAAACCAGCCTTGACAGTCTTGACAAACAATCTTTCCCATTCCTCTGTAAAATCTTCGCACATGGATTGCAGTTTGGATCCTGAATCCACATCGATACCTTCCAGATCATGATCAGCTGGCCGGATGCCATTGTGCCGAATCAGAAGGAGCCGCACATAGTCGCCAATGACACTGCTGCGATAGTTCCGAAACGAATGGCATGCGGCTTGCAAGGCGTCAGTTATCCTCATCTCTGAGTCCACATACCGTATTGCTCTTCCGCCCTGTGATTTACCTTTGTCAGCAGCAGGTCTCCTTGCCAATTCAATCACTTCTGTCGAGTTCACTGACTTTTCTAGTTCCCGTTCCAATTCTTGAACAAGCGTGACACAAATAGCACATTTGAATGTTTGGGGTCCGCGCTTGTTAGGCTTCGAACTAGAAGCTGTAAGAATGATGGAACTGATAATTGCAAGAATAAGGTATGAAGATGAAAATCTAGCCATTTCAACTTCACTGAACGAATGTATCACGGGATCATTCCAGCCGAACTCTCCTCATTCACTAGCCCCGAGGATGCACATGGTTCAAGGATGAGACACGGAGTTAGGGAGTTCTGATTCTAGCAGTAAGTTTTCATATCTAGAAGTGATGTACTTCCATGTTCGCTCCTCCTCCTTCTCTCCTCTTCACTCGCCGCAGCGAACCGCTCGTGCTCTGCAGCATGGCAGTGGCCTCAACATTATAAGAAACTATAATTATTTCAACCATTATATATATTTATGTATAATAGCCCCCGGGGCCCGGCGAGTTTTGCTCATTGGGTTTATTAGAGTTGGAGTTGAGTTTGAGTCAGCGTGAGTTGACCCTTCATGGCTGCCGGGCGCTTGATGATGAGGCTGGAGCAGTGGAGGAGAGGGAGAAGAAAAAGTGAGGGTGGAGGATAGGGGCAAGGATTTAGAAGATCAATTCTCAACTGAATTACGAGAGAGGATTGAGGAGCAGATCGCATGCGCCATGGGATCCACATTTCGATGTGAGCATACGGAGGGTGGAAGCCGAGGATAGAGTGAGAGTTGGTTGCCAGCTGAGAAGAGAATGCCCTAGCGAAAATACAACCTTGGTCCTTTTGACAATGCACATGAAAAAAAGTGCAGCAAGACTATGTTATCAATCACCAAAACAAGCAACGATAGATGTACAGTCAACACAATCGTTTTCATGGTTGTTGATTGTCGAGAGTACATCATGTAGGGCTCTTATTGTCTTTCTGATTTTTTTTGTTGGTAGAATGTTGAGCTTCTTGCCGATTTATTCTCTTGGGTTGAGCACCTTTGCCGGGTACAACACGGTAAGTGCAGTACCATCGTACAGAAATATTTCTCATGTTTCCCCTCATTTTTTTGGAACAGAAGGAGAACTCTCCCATGACCCCTGGCATGGGATTGAACCGGGACAAAAACGGATATTACTATCCTGAATTTCAGCGTGTCAAACAGGGTGATTGGCGCTTTCAGAATTATGACATGGACACCAGCTATTTGGTTGTCCACAAGTCTCAATGTAGACCGGTCTGCTGACATACTCGACTCAGATCCCTGAGGTGAATGCCTATGAGTCTGATGGCGCATTCTCGGGCCCTGGTGCTAACCTGGACATTGCTATGATTGGTGACATACATCCTTAGTTGTCTGTCTTCGAATGACCTTTGGACGCAGCATAATCTACTTGAAGGCCGTGTACAAGGATCTGAAGAATTTTAATTTTTAGTATGTTGAAGTATCTTCCTGGGCAGGTTTCATCTGTGAGTAGATCAAAATGAAATTGTCACTTGATTCGGTGCAAGTTTCGCAATTCAGACTGTTATCGGATTGAGAACGATTGAATGCAGCATTTCATACTTCAAACTATCAGGTCTGGAAGCACAAGTCAGTTCTCATAGCGTTCCTGCAATTTCAAATCAAACAAATGCGCTCGTGAAAATGTGTACAAAGAGCGTTGGATTGCAATTCAGAACTTTCTACAAGAAACACATCGCCCTTCATTGAAAATACAGATTTAAACAGCTTAGGCACTCTTGAAGGTACCGCAATCAATAACGTAGCGAACGAGGGAATCGTTCTTGCCCTCAAGTTTCATCAAAGCGTCCTTGATCTCAGAGGCACCGATGACCTTAACATCAGGGAAGATGTTCTTGGAGCAGCAGAAATCAATCATTTCCTGGGTGCGCTTCATGCCACCGATCAAGGATCCAGTGACACTCTGACGTCCAAAGAGAAGGGCAGATCCAGCAACAGAGAGAGGCTTGGCAGTGAGGCCAATCATGACGTGAGTTCCCTTTGTGGCAAGGAGGCTGATGTAAGGCATGACCTCGTGATCAGCGCTAACGGTGTCCAAGATGATGTCCAAAGACTTAGCCGCCTTGGCCATGGCATCCGCATCAGTGCTCAACAAGAAGTTGGTAGCACCCATAGACTTAGCTCCAGCCTCCTTGTTAGGGGAGGTGCTGATAGCGGTCACCTCGGCTCCCATAGCCTTGGCGATCTTGATGCCCATCATGCCAAGTCCTCCTAGGCCAACAATTCCGACCCTGGTGCCGGCTTTCACGCCGTGCTCGACGATAGGATCGTACATGGTGATACCAGCGCAGAGCAGGGGAGCAGCCTTATCAAGCTGGACATCCTTGGGCACCTTCACAGCAAAGTGCTGGAAACACAGTGTGAGATAGGAAGGAAACAAACAAAAATGCACATACCTCGTTGACAACCATCTTGTCACTGTAACCTCCAGCAGTTGGCTTGCCTGCAGGTCCGCAACGGCCGTACTTAGAAACGCCACCGTACGTGAAGGTTGATCCAGTGTTGCAATACTGCTCCTCATGCTGCTTGCAGAACTTGCAATCCATGCAGGAATCCACCATGCATCCGACACCGATGTTGTCCCCCACTTGGAACTTGGTAACCTTAGATCCTACGGCAGTCACAGTGCCGATCAGCTCGTGTCCAGGCACCATCGGGTACTGAGAGAAGCCCAGGTCGTTCTTGATGAAGTGAACGTCGGTATGGCAAATACCGCAGTACTTGATGTCGAAGCTAACGTCCATGTCACCAGGAGCATAGCGATCAAACTTATGGGGCGCGAGGGAGCCGAGATCGGCAGACATAGCGGCATAACCGTTGACGGACATGGCAACAGAGGAGGGATGGGCGAGGCGTAGGCAGCCGGGTGTATATAAAGACCTAGGGGGGAGCACCCCTCCACCCCTGAGGGGTAAATGCTGGACCGGTTGTCTGTGATTATAGTCACCGTACCGGTCAAAGAAGGAAACAGGGATAGAGACAGTGAGGGTAGTCGAATTGCAGGATACTCTCTTGGTTGCGTGTACTCCAAGGTCACCAGTGCCCATGAGATCAGATCTCCACGAAGGTCTAGAACGAGCGCCACCACGGTAGGGTGGGTGGTTTTGTGTAGGACCCTAGGGGTGATCCCGACACACTCAAAGGCTTTGTTGGAATGTGGAGGGGTGGTAGTCGTTGAAAGAGCAAAAAATATATGGGTGGTTTAGGGTCATGGGAAGGTGGAGCAAGGGGTTGGTTCATGGGGGATCAGATCTTCTATGTCCCTTTCCTTGTGAAAATAATGAGAGGTGAGGGCGGGAAGTATGGAGGGTCTTAAAACGGGTTGAACTCCCCCGTGGTGGGTGCTCGAATCTGTTTGTGTGAGTGGGTGGGGTAGTTTATCAAGCTTTCAGGACCCTGAATAAAAATACACTAATAGCGTGACGTGTGCCTGAAGTTCACTCACAAGATAGGGGGTGGGGTCAAAGTTCCACGGACATTCACAGACCATCCGACTTCTGTGCCAGCCTGGCCAGGTGTCACAGGGAGAGGGTGGGGTGGTAGCCCTGCGCAACCAAGGATGCTTCCACCAGGGCACTGGCATTCTAGTCACGTGATCAAACAGCCGCGTGACACACACCCGGCGAGGGACGTGACACTGTTTGGCAAAGTTCTGCCCTTCCGGGCCCGCCGGGGGATACCGGACCTCGCTCGGAGCAAACTGCAAGCAGCACTGCAGCACAGCGGAAGATCCGAGGCCGGGCACCGTAATGCATATGCTCACGAGTCAGCATGTCCCGTCAGACCCGGGCCTTTCTTCCCATCATCCGGCGCCAGCACTGATGGCCTCTTACAGGATGATGCGTTGCGCTTTCTGTGGTGGCGTTGGCGGATCGCTCGGCGAACAAGGAAACGGCAGCGCTGGATGATGGTCTCACGGCCTCGCAAGACGTCTCACAGTGAGGTGATCCGACTTGCCAAGTTGTAAACGCATCCGGTCCAGGATCTTTCCGAAGTTCGCCGTGTCAGCTCCGAAGCCTCCCTGTCCTTCCGAGCGGTGCTATCATCGCAGGTGCGTTGAACGGTTCCCGGAGTCCGGTACTGACTCTGTGATGATGCGTCACCCGAGTCTCATTCCTTCGGTCCTGCGCGCAGTTAAGTGAAGGTATCACGGTTAATCGCTGTCTTTTCTCTTCTCGCCGTTTGGCCTGTCGCACGACACTGACAGTGTCAGGGTGCAAGCCTGCGGCCCCCTCTGGAATTGGTGCATTCCATGGCATTTACTAATGCCCAATTATAAATTAATATCCTTTTAACAAACACTTGTACCTGTTAATTTGATCATAAGCATACAGTTTTTAGTCAATTTTGTACCAGAATGATTTGTACCACTCAGTACTCTTTTATATTTGTTTTAAGCATTTGAGTTCCGGCTTACACGCCTCTTGGCTGCTCTCTACCCTGTGTACCGGTATGTTTGTCTGATATGGAGGGGGTAGGGCTATTCGTATATTTCGATACACGCTCATGAAATCTTATTAGTGTCAGCCATTGACGAGTGTAGTAAATCTAGCCAATAAGTATTTTTGTTTTCAAATCAAGGAGTCGTATGCCAGCTAGCAACGGCAATCTTTTTTTTCTACACCGGTTGTTTTATATAGATACCTACCCCATGTCTATAGGGTGCCACCGAAACACAGGTCCCCTTGCCCCCGATCAAAGAGCAAATAAAAATTCATTAAAAATCCTGAGATCTCCATTGCAAGTATCCCTCCCCTCCTCCTTCCTGCTCTTCTCCCTCCCTCCCTCCCCCCTGCTCCCCTCCCTTCCTCCCTGCTCCCTCCCTCCCCCCTGCTCCCCTCCCTCCCCGTTGCTTCCGTTTCCCTTGCGCTCCAGTTATAGACACCAAACAAATGAATCTTCACCGTCGTGTATCAGCAACAAATGGAATTCAGAGAAGGCGAAGGCAGGAAGATTGCGATACATTCTTGGAGCAGGAAGAGACTTGTGATGAGTCAAAGACACCTGAAGATTTGAAGCTTCGAATGATCCTGCATACGTCAGTTGATGATCGAGACTTGCGCAGGATGTACTGGAAAAAGCCAGGCAGTAATTTGAATATTATGCTTGAGCCTGGCACAGGGGTTCAATATCAGTGTGAAGATCACAGGGGCGTTGAAGTGAATCGACTGGGGATGATCAAATCGCTGCACTCAGATGCACAGGTTGTCGAAGTGTACATCATGTACAATGGAGTCCTCTTGGAACATGTAGACGAAACCATTATAACTAATCGAGTGCCCTGTGTGGCCCTGAAAAGAATTTTGAACAAAGTTGGAAACCGTGATTGTTATCAATCAATTTACAAGGATACGGATGAAATAAATGTCTCCATGCTTCTCTTCCCCACAACTGATAAAAACATTACATTCGCAGGAATGATATTCAATGGAGACTCTACCTTATGTCTTAGCTCGCTGGTTCCGATACTGAGAAGTCCTGAGGGAAGTTCATTCACATCCGGCATTCATGGCGTTGAATAGTTCATCGATCTTACACTTGCGATCTATTTGCAATCAAGTTGCCTACACGACTGACATGCCTTATGCTTATGTGCTTGGTTGACACAGAGAGGAGGAAGTATGGGTCTTGTAGAATGCCAATCAAAACAACAATCAATTGCCTAATCAGAGAGATCCTTTACGAGAAACAATCTTGACACCAAACAACTCTACAGTCAGAGATGTGCTCGAAGCTCAATCATACGAAAGAGGGTTGTGGATGCTTGATCACCAAAAACGAGCAATTCTCCATCTTGCAATGAGCATCAAATGGATTCGAAAACAGCCCTAGGCTCTGGAATCCATGGCGATGCTGATTCCTACAGCTTCCTTTGAAAAACAAGCTCGAGCTGTTTGAAACGTCGTCTTGCAGTATGCCGCAAAAAGTACAAACATTCACACATGATCCAACCTTGGATGGCCTGGAGCTTGAATACGATGAAAGAGCCATTGGCTGAGAGCCATCTGGGATTCAAACAAACGCCGCCTGCGCCGGCGGGTGCGGATGCAGCAATGGGGGAAGGGGGAGGGCAGGCAATTTGGTTGTATATGCACCCCCCAGGCGTGTAAAAGCGTGTAAGGTCAAAAATAGTTTTAATGTTTGAAACCTTGTTGTTTGGAGGAAGCAAGAATACTTGTAAACCTAAAACTGCTCGACACGGTCCCCGATTCAAACATACTTTCAACCATTATCGAAGTTTCTGGTACAAATTTTCAGTGCGCCGACCATTCAAAAATCCTGGGCTGAAGTACCCCGCTCGAAAATGATCAAAAGCGAGCATTAGAAAATGCCATGGAATGACTCAGTGACCCGGTCAACCACGGTTGCGTTGATCCATCCGACTCACCGTGGCACCCGGTCGCACTGTGTCCGATCGGGCCCCTGGGCCCGGCCGGCGGCCGCGGCCGGGCCGGGCCTCGACTGCCGCACTGAGTGCTGTCTCCCGCCGCCGGGCTCACCGAGTCGGACGCGAGGGCCCGGCCGGCCCGGGGCGGCCCGCCGCCGGGCGGCCCGGCCGAGAGACCGTATCGGAGCCCGGCCCGCCCGGCAACTTTTGGTGACCGGGGTGTAGTAGCTCGGCCCTGATTGCTGCCCTGCAGGCACGTGGATCTCTCGTACGTCTCCTCTTGCTTTCATGCTTTCATGCATCCGTCCCTGCCGCCGTTCCGCTCCGCCGCTTCCTCCTCATCCGCCCATCCATCCGCACGCTCATGCACTTCTACTCCCGCCCGTCTCCTTCTTGTCTGTTTTGTCTGCTCGATCCCGCTCGCGCGATGTTATGAACTTCGCTGCTGCGCATCAGGTTTCTGATGCTGAACGTTTTTTTCAGGTGGATGCGACACGATTCCAGGGAGGTTCACCGATAGTTCATCATGCAAAGATCGATGAACTTATGGAAATGTCCGTTCCTTCCGTCGCTGAAGAGAATGACAGGTGGATGCTCGCAGACCAGAGTAAGAGTCGATGCATCCCTGTCCATTCACAGGCAATCGCGATCCAGCTTTTTTCAGACTGATCTTCGCGCTCCGAGGACTCAGCTCTTCAGGAGCTTCTCCTCTGAAGCGAAAGTTAATGATAACCTTCGAAACATTGCAGTCATTGCGCACGTTGATCATGGAAAAACTACTCTCGTTGACAAGCTGATTCAGCAATGTGGTGGTAAGACAGAGAATGAGAGGTGCATGGATTCACTCGATCTGGAGAAGGAGCGCGGCATCACCATCATGGCCAAATGCACGAGCATGATGTGGAAGGATAAGAAGCTGAACTTAGTCGACACTCCCGGCCACGCAGACTTTGGAGGAGAAGTGGAGCGAGTGATGTCGATGATTGATGGAGTGCTCCTCCTGGTTGATGCTGCTGAGGGCCCAATGGCACAAACCAAATTCGTGCTCGGAAAATCTCTTGCACGTGGATTGCGGCCAATCGTCGTAATCAATAAAGTCGACAAGGATAGCAGCAGGGTCAGGGAAGTAGAAAATGAAGTTTTTGATTTGTTCAGCTCGTTGGACGCAAGTGAGGACCAGCTGGACTTTCCGATCGTCTATGCTTCTGGAAGAAGTGGCTGGGCAGATCTTGTACAAGATGGTCCAAGGCAAGATATGTCTGCTCTCCTAGATTTGATAGTCAGTCACGTTCCTCCACCGAAAGGGGATGTGACAGCTGCATTTTCCATGAGCGTGACCATGTTAAGCTCTGATACCTTTCTTGGAAGACTTCTGATTGGCCGGATACATTCAGGAGTCGCGAAAGTGAATGATCCTATCCATGCTTTGAACATGGCGGGTCAGAAGATCGAGCAAGGAAGAATCACAAAAATCTTGTACAGGGAGGGAGAACAAGGAATTTTGCCCCTTGAAAGTGCGAGTGCTGGAGACATCATTCAGCTAGCAGGCTTGTCAAAGGCGTCAATCAGCGACACAATCTGCTCTGTAGAAGTAGAGAAGCCTCTGGAAACAATTGCCATCGATCCTCCAACTGTTTGCATGACCTTCAGTCCGAATGATTCTCCATTGGCCGGAAAAGATGGCAACAAATTGACTTCTCAACTTATCCTTGAGAGATTGCAAAAAGAAGCGGAAAACAATGTCAGTATTCAGGTTGGAACTCTGGTCCCCGGATGTGCACGAATGGTGTAACTGTTCTTGTTATTCGTAGGTCAAACGAAAGGAAGGTGCGGGGGAAAGTTTTGAAGTTTACGGAAGAGGAGAACTGCAGTTGGGAATTTTGTTGGAAAACATGAGACGGGAGGGTTTTGAGTTGTCTGTTTCTCCTCCTCAGGTTATTTGTGTTACAAATGCCTCTTCTATTTCATACACTCATTCTTATGCAAAGGTTGTCTTCAAAGAAGAGAATGGCGTGAAATTGGAGCCAATTGAAGAAGTTGTCATTGAAGTTGATGATGAATTTGTTGGAAGTGTCGTCAACAAATTGACAGCCCGCAAAGGCGTGGTTTGTGGTATGCGATATTATATGCTCGTAAGTGGCATAACGTTATCCTCCCCAGAGATGAAAGAGAGCAATGAGAAGGGCCGGACTCGAATTCGAATGAATGTTCCTACCCGTGGCTTGCTGGGATACAGATCGATCTTTTTCACCGACACTAGGTCGGTTGTCCCTTGCCCCTTGATGGCTCTGAGCACTTTTCACAGAGGTACTGGGATTTTGACAAGAATTTATCTGGAGCATCAAAAATACCTCGGCAATATCGACAACATGAGGAAGGGCGTGCTCGTTTCCATGGCTACAGGTGATTTGATATTAGGAATCTTCTCTGTTCTGAACTAGACCAGGCAAGACAACAGAGTATTCGCTCAAGGATTTAGAAGCTCGCGGAACATTGATTGTTGGTCCGCGTGTCGAAGTATATTGTGGAATGATATTTGGAGAACACTCGAAGGTCATTAGCTGCCTCGTTGTCCTCCATGTTCTGACAGCAGCTCCGATGCCCCACAGGAAACTGATTTGGATGCAAATCCCACCAAGACCAAACACGTCTGTCGCATATTGAGATATTTGCTTCGCCAATGACATGGTGCAGGTGTCAAATGTGCGAACAACTGATGGCAAAGATGATCTCGTTCAGCTCAAAGCGCCTCGTAAATTCAACCTTGAGGAGTGTCTTTCGTATATCATGGAGGTGAGATTTTTTCACCTGAAGGCCTAAGTACTCATCCCAACTCAGGACGAGGTGCTCGAAGTGACACCGAATGCCCTCCGGATGCGCAAGAAAGAGCTTGACCCAGGCAAACGGCAGAGGGCGTCAAAGAACAAGAAATGAGGGGATGCACGCTCATTAGTAGTCACACTTGTTGTTCTTGCGAATACATTTTGGCTGGGATCTTTTTTCAAGATTTACTTTTGGGAAAGTTTTCTATAAATGCAAGTTAAAGAAAGTATTCTGTAAGACTTGGGATCTGGCAGCAGACGTACTTGGTAGATATTGTTTTGGTTTCTCTCTTTCAATGTTTATGTTTCTTCTCTGGACTGGTCCTGGAAGCAGGGAGATCATTGCTGACTGATCGCTTCATGTTTCGAGCATCTCTATCTTTGAGCGCTGCACGAAATCGTAGAAGCAAAAAGTTTGTTTTGTCCGTCGTGATAATCTGGTCTGTGGGGGGGGACGTATCATGAGTTGCATAATACGCCTGAGGGTTCTTGGTTCGATGCTTGCCTCTGTGCATCTTAGAAAACATTCCATTCGATGGAAGATCATCCAGAAGAGATCCCATGTCAGAGCACTTGTCCAATCTGACGTCCCAGCTCGGTTTCTATTCCAGTTGACAGTTGCAGCTCCTCGTTCCTCTAGCTTCCCCTTCAGTCAACCTCTTATCCTCTTACTTTCGCTTCTCCTGTCTGCTTCCTCCTCCTCTCCTACCTCTCTCCTTCAGCTCCTCTCCTTCACTCCTCGACTTTCTCCTGCCTTCTCCCCGTTCTCGACTCTTCTCACTTGTGTCGAGGTTGCTTCTCTTTACCACGGTACCCCTACCCACTCCTTCTCACCAACATCCTCACCAATTATGACCCCTACCCCCCCAATTACATGTCTCGTCCGATCATCACTCTCCCTCCCAGAGTTCCACTACCACCCCCTACCCCTTAGAAAGTGACGAGCACAAACCGTTGAATAACCGTTAAAAATTCTGGAAACGTAAGCAGGGGGATGAGGGTTTAGGAGGGGCGAAATGGCGGGCGAATGGCAGGCAGGGATGATGGCTGGCTACCAAGGCGGAGCCGGAGGAAGGAGAGGAGAGAAGACGAAAAAGGTGAAAGTGATCGCTTCAGTGAAGAGTTTGCAACAAGCAGACCAGGATGATCTTATTCTTGTTGAATGGAATGGCAAGCGGAAGCAGGTAAAATCAAGCCTCTTGTTCCGAATCGAAGAAAACGAGTCAGTCTTGAATGAGACAGCTGAGGCTCGCTGGAGAAGCAGCAGTTTTGAATCGCATTGGCTTGCTGAAATTATTGAGAGATCATCTGAGAGACTAAGCCCCTTGCTCAAAGGTAAGATCAATTCCGCTGGGCATGCCTGTGACTCTCTATTTGAATCAGAGTCGCATGGGAAATTGCACTCCATTTCCGATGGATCGCTGTCATCGCATTCGCGCAGAATGAACGTTGGATCAAGATTGCCCTTGTTTCAACAAGACATGAAGAGAGTGAGAAAGAAAAAGTTGCAGGATCAACATTCGACCAACATCACAATTGTGAAGAGAAGGCAGAATGATCTGCCGAGAGCTTCCGTAACATCAATTGAGAAATCCCCCAGTCAAGTGGTTGCTCAAAACCTCGACATGGCATTGGAGTCTTGTTTCAGCCCTGAACCTGATACTGTCAAGGTCTCAAAATCCAGACCATCAGGTGTCTTGGTCAACAAAATTGAAACGAAAGAAAAATACCTGAATTCTCTCGATGCATCCACGGAGAACGTTAGCATGAACAAACTGAGCTCTAAATCTATTGTCATCAAAGATGGGCATCCCGATAGTAGCAAGGTTTTGAATCGGGGTAGCTCCAAAGGTCCGCGAATTCATCATGATACGAACAACGCAAGTGACACAACTTCAACAACTGTAAACTGTAAGGAACCTTCCAAAAAAGACAAAGAATGCTCAAAGCTTGTGCAAAAAATTGTTGAAAATCAAACGAAAGAAAAAGTAGATCTCCGTGGTCGATTCTTCGATATCAATCAGCTACGGAATGTCTTTGAAGCTCTTGTTTCGAATCAGTCTTGCACAAGCCTTGATCTGAGATGTTGCATGATACGAAATACTGGCTGTAAGGAATTGTGCAGACGTCTGTTACAGCATGGATGCAATTTGCGATGGATAGATTTGGCTGAAAATGATCTTACAGAGGTTTGTATCCCAGATCTTCTGGAATCACTGAGAAATTCGCCTTTGATCTGGTACATTGATCTTCGTTCGAATGCAATCTCCCACAATGCTTTGAAAGACATTGAACGATTTCTGACGGCATTCCCCCGAAACCTTGAGGGTAAGAGAAGAAAGATAGAATTGGATTCAATCGTACTGGAAGGAGGCCAGGCCGAAGATTTATCGATGGATGACGAATCAGATGATTCTCTCCATAGTGTGGACATGGAGGCGAGATCTTCATGTGCAGATGACTTTGACGAAGAGTTTCATGAAAAAGATCTGGAAGAAGAGAGTCATGATATGTGTCACTCTGGCATGGTCAGTGATGGTCGCGCTGATGATGAAATTGAACCGGAAATCCCTGCTTTCTTTCAACCCCGCAATTCGCTGAAAGAGAATTTCAATGTGGTCGATAAAGTCCATCAGCAAAAAAATTATCTGCAACCCCCTCAATTTAAGAAGAGCTCTTTGTCCATTGGAAAGGGCCAAAGAAACCTGAAGCTTAAAAAAAGCCGTCTTCCAAATCAATCTCGAAATGCCCACAAGGATGTTACCAAGAACTCATCGGAATCAAATGAGACTGATGTCTGGTTGTCACTTTGGGATAAAAAATGTGCAAAAATGGCTAAAAAGTCAAAGAAAAGAATTAGCACCTCATCTAGATCAACAGGCTCAAACAATTCTTTTCCGGCCGCTTATGGCGTCGGATCTTTGATCCCACCTTCAAAGATTAGACAACCCACTGCTAGAGGGCAACCGCTTCACGATGACCAAAGCCAAATGTCTATGAAGGATGATTTGAGTCAGCCTTCTACAACTGATGATCGCCAGTCATTTCAGGTTCAGATTCAAGAAAGCTCAAACAACTCAAGAACACCTCACAGGTTGGATCTTTGTGGAATTGTGTTGCTTCACTTTAACTAACAAAATTCTCAGCAATGTCGATCAGCCCTTGAAGTGCCGTATACAGACATCTTTTCCACGGAAACTTCCATTTGAATCCTTGAAAGTGATGTTTGATTGTGCAAAGGTTGGCAAAAAACTGCTCAATCCTATTTGGATTTCTGTCTCGAGATTGAATTCAAATTCACAAACTTCAGCCCCTGAATTGCTTGATGAAGGGAAAATTAGGGCAGGATTCAGGAAATGCGAGGAAATCTTTGGAAATTTGCGCAGGGAGAAACCTGTGTCAGATGACAGGGTTTCACCCGAATCAATTTCCGATTGTCATTTATTCTTTCAGAACGTCACACACACATTGCAAAGCTTTGCATCACGAAATATTTGTAACCTCGCACGAGCTGGTTTGAAAAGAGAAATTCTAAGAGGGATTGATCACCTTTTCACAGATAATGGCAATGTCTACGATGCTTTGAATAATGGGACTTTGTTTGAATGGTGTAAAATCTACTGCATATTTTTCAATTTTTGTTTGCGATGGCTTAAGGAAATTGATTCCTGGGAGGTGCTGGTAAGCGAAAATATATCAGGGATGGAAGACTTTGGGTTTTTGCTAAACCGGTACAGCTTTTCCAAACTTGTAGAACGACTGTTGAGAACATTTTTGTACGTACTTGCTGAACCATCTCTTGGCCGCAGATTTGAAAACATGATCGGTGCAAGATTAAAGCATGGACCACATGAATTGCTAACAGGGCAATATGCAAGCATAGAATGCATTTTGCAGTTGTGGTCAGAAGTAATTCTTTTCCTGGACGAAGAACCTTGTGGATATTGGAGGAAATTGCAAGAAATCGTCAATGATCATCGCATCGAAAGCAAGGTTGCTTCACAATTCACGTTACCTCATCTGCGGGAAAGGCCAAGAGCTTCACAATGCATCAAATATCTTCACAGCCTCAATTCGACTGATTACAAAACTTGTGTTCGGGAAGAGGCAATGGAATTCTGGTGGCTATCGCTTTTTTTTTCCATAATTGTGTACTATCTATTCGATGTCCCTCGTCAGCCTGCTTGGGATTTCCTGTCTTTTCTACTCTCAAATTCTCCATTAGTTGGTGATATGAATGATGCTTCATACGAAGATGGCTCCCTGTTTGGGGTAGATCTGTTCCGAAGTCACCAATGTAAGGGATTGTATGAAGCTGAATTGATAGATCGGTGCTCAGTGTGCATGACATTATGGCCTTTCTGCGATGAGGAAGGCAGAGCAACTTTCTCGAATCTCAAATTGATACGTGAAATCAATGTGCAGACGTATCATGTAAATGCGAGCAGTCGTCGAGGATTGATTTCGGAGCTTTGGAGGATTTTGAACATGGAAAAAGGAACAGGAACAGATTTCAGTGGTCGAAATTATCATGCTTCCCCTGCTGATTTCCAGTACTTAGGAAAACTTCCGAATGACTATCCTTTTGATGTTCAAAACAAAACATGCCGTGGTTCCACGGTTTGCTCTAACCTTGTAAGCCTGATTCAAAATATTGTGCTCAGAACACAAGGCCTTGACCACAAGACAGCTGTTGCCTGCAAAAATGAGTATATTTCTGGATTTGTCAAAATGTAAGTAGCGATCTGTTCCTGCGGGTGTATGACACTTAGAAACAGGTACAGTTCCATGGTTGCAGGATTGTGCAAGTCGACTTTTCTTATCGGAGGGGATGCAGATCATGAAAGCTGCAATGCTGTACGGTGTCAAAGTTCCATTGAAGCTGAAAAATTCAGAAGCAGTGTCCTTCTGCTATGCACTATTGCTTTGCTTGCTCCAGAACAAGGTTCTGTAAACTTTTCAAGCATATCGTCAAAATTGACTGCAATGGTATATATTCCCGCGCAAGTGAATATGTATTGGGATCAGGACACCAAAGCGATAGAAAGAAACTTCGATATCAGAAGCACACTTGTAAGTTCAATGAGTCATCTGACAAAGATGAGATTGCAAAAAGGTCATTCTGCTACTTTGCTTCTCAACTTCTTGTCAAGATTGTTGAAATTTGGGTTGATGGAAGTCAATTGCAAGAGTGAAATGTCAGCGCCGATTCCACATCCCAGCATTGTTCTTTCAAGACCGCACATACCAGCGAAAGATGCCAGTGCAGCTAACACCTTTGAATTGACTCTGAAGCATAAATCACGTTCGCTGATGACAGCCATTCTAAAGGTGTTCACGGAGATTACAGATCTTTCCTTCAAGTTTTTGACAAAGAATTCGATCGTGGGTGGTAGACTCAATGAGAAGTTGAGTGAGTTTCTCAATGAACTCTCATCGGTATATGGCGTTGAAACACAGAAAGTTCTTGCGAATTTTGGCGATGATCGCGAGAACAGTAAGGACGTGGACGAAGCAATCACAGATCTATTTCAGTCAGTCATCACAAATGTGAATCATATGAATCATGTTGTCTTTGACGCTGTCAAAACAAATCAAAATGAAGAAGATGAATCGATGGATCACGACGATTTTTGGGATGTCATTGCGTGTGATGCGGATACTTCCCTGCAAATGAGTAGAGGGATAGTTAAAAAGCTCCATCCGTGTTCCAAGATTTTATCTACTTGCTTAAACAAAATGAAGAACTTCAGCGAAAATGATATTCGAAGGATCAAGGTATGCAGGTTGTATGGTGAGCTATCAGTTCTCCTATTGAGACACGGGCATCTTGAGTGGAATGACTGCAAATTCTATTTCACACAAAGCAATTCATTTGAAATCCGCAGGAGTGTTGCATTGACTTGGAAATTCTTCATCCAAGGGCTCAAATACCCTCTTGACTTGTGGATTGACATCACCTTTCAAGATTTGTTGCAGATGTGGTTCATTTTCATGTGTGACAGAAGAACGTATATGTTCAAACCTACCAGCAACACTTTCTTTATCAAAGACCTTCAACAAGAGTTGACCTACATCATCTCAAATTTGCGGGTGGTTCCTTTCATGCAGGATTGTTTTCGCAACATTCTATCCATCCCAAATGGCCGAACGGAAGCTCTGTTCGAAAACGAGGGATTCATGGATAGGTTATCAGTGATCAAGCATTTCCTCGAGAATATTGCCGGCCATAATTCTCAGAAATATCATGATATTTTCAATGAATGGATTCAGGTGTTGAGGAAGGAATTGTTCATGATTGAAGGAAGTGACAAGGTAGATTTCATGATATTTGCCTTCGAAATCTTGTCAAGAGTGCTGCCGATATCAGCGGAACGATTGCATGCTTGCAGTACAATCCACAAATCAAATGGAAGCACTCTACTGCTTGACCTGCACGAAATGCTTTTTTCCAATTTTGATCAGTCGAAGTCCAATGATGGTTTCACCGAAATTCAGATGAGCAAGATTGCAAATGCTCAAGCAAGATGCATTCCATTCTTTTTACAGGGATTGTTGAAGATGAATAATTGTTTTCAGAACAAAAGATTGGAGAAAATTATGATGACTCTTTTGCGTGATTCTCTTGAATCGGGGATTGAACTGGTACAGACACAGACAGTATTGTTTTTCAATCAAAGTCATAGTTTTGAGCACTGGTGTCCGGATGATTTCATTCAAAGTTTGTTCTTTAATCATATCCTTGAATTTGTTGTGGTTGATCGCGAAGCTAAGGACAAGGAGACATCCTTTGAGGTTCCAAACTTTTTGTTGACTGCAAACCAGTTGGGGCGGAGGTTATTCGTTTCCATGATTGCTCAAATGTTAAATCGTTGTATCTTGGCAACAGCAATGGATGGGACTGTGAAAAGTGCAAGACTGAGCGTGCTCAGGACTCTCCACATGTTACTAAAACTGTTAGTCCAAACATCTCCAGAATGTTTGGAGACCGGGCATGTCGAAGACATTCCGGTATTGATGAAAGAATGTCTCGTTTATGCTTCCTTCTTGTGCGTCAGAAAATTCATGGAATTGTTCGGCAGAGAGCTGGTCTTAGGTTCGGCATACCTCGACGAGACGTTCGCGACCATTAGGGAGAAATTGATGAAGACCAGTCAGCAGATGACTCGACTGCCAGTGCTCTCCCAATCCGTCGAACCTTCTGGACCTCAAGGCAGGCAGACACCTTGCCGAGAGCTCCTCGAGGTTTTGTTTTGGCTGCAGCAAATGGACGATGATTGTCACGAGGTCGTGCTTGAGCTTCTTCCAGCCCTCGCCAGCTGCTTCAGTGGAACATGCGAAGCAGATTCACACGACATCGCACTGAGCTCTGCTTTTCAACATTTCCTCAGCCGCCTCCGAATCCAAGGTCATGAATTCTTCCATCCTAACGATCAGGAGAAAATTCGGAACGTCAATCAACTTCTTTTGATCTGATTTAATGAATTCACAAAAACACTAACAAACTACAGTGCGCGTACGGACGGCATAGAAGCATTATTCCTACACATCGGAATATTGTCTCATGTATGAATTGCATTGAAAATACATAAACATTCATCTTCACCAGAAAAGATGAGTGAAAATCGATTCAACAGCAACCAGCAATCTATTTGCGCTTTGGTATGCGACGATGTCCTGTTACAAACGTGTCAGCGTGACGGTTTCTTTGTTCCGACATGCTTACGAGAGAAGGAGTAACTTTGCGATGACTCTCCGCACGCTGCAGCAATAGCATTGTTCTGAAGACTTTCTTGTGTCACTGCATGTGCTAGCTTTGAAGGTACCAAGGTAGTGGGCTCAAGGAGCCGAGACACAAAAGCAGAAAAAAGGAAAATCTCAGCTGCCAAGGGAGTGATCATATTGCTTGCTCCGAAAGACATGGCTGGACATACACGACGTCCAAATCCATGGATAGCATCCATGGAGAGAGATGAAGCTCGTTGTGACGTAATCGCAGCGAGAGGTTGCGCGAATGTCTGCCATGACCCAGGGATTGCAGCCTTCCATTTCCCCATAATCCATTCATGCCCGCGACCATACATTGAAATCGACACAACAGTACAAGCTAAGAGTGTGTACGCACTGCTAAGAAAATTCATGCGCAAAGCAGGATTCATCATGGCTCGCAAGCCGTCCAAGAAGATTGCGGCAGCCCCTGCTCGTGCCATTGTTCTCATCGCATCAAATTGCGCGTTCACACGGAGCTTCCTACCATGGCTCTCCATCATCAAGGACGGCATAGGGTGCATTGAAGAGCTCAATGGGCTTGAGGGCTTGAGGGCTGAGCTCAACTGCATGGCGGCCGCATGCTGCGCTGCTACTAGAACGAGAAGCACGAACAACCGCGCCATGCCTGGAAAATATTTGAAATGATTGCTCTCTTTGAAAGAGCTGTGTAAAATTTCAAAATACTGGGGAAATGTTTCTATTCGGCAAAAAAATCTTGCAGGGGCGGATCGAGTGGGTGCAACATTTTGAAGACCATCGACCAGACAACAGATCTTATTTTTTAAAAATATTCTTGTACTGAAGTTTTAAAATACATTGATATATCAAATAGATTACTTATTTTCAACTTTTATTATATTTTAGATGTGGTTTGTGATGACTTTTTCTTTCATTCTCTATGTCATAACGAATGGCCGCATCCACGAGAAGATAGGGAAAGGGTGGTGAAGACAGTCAAAGTGAGGGGTACTTGTAGAAATCAGAGAAAAAGCTTGAGGTACCCCAAACGATGTCGGATAGAATTGAGATCGACTAGAGGTAGAGATGAAGGTTCAAGCATGGCGAAATGAGGTGATAAGGAAAGAGATAGACAGTAGGAGCTTGTTCACAGCCAGAGACGGAGCCAGATAAAGAAAGATCATGACATGTCCCACAGCAAACATCATCCTTTAACCTTACGAAGTGCATTCGAAGCTGCCTTGTGCCCCCCCTGAGCTGCAATCTTCAAGTATGATATACCCTGCTTCTTTGACCTTGGCACGAGATGTCCTTCCAAGTACAGGTTTGCTAACATGTAGCTGCGAGCATTCAGAAAATGAAGCTGGTTTTCATCACTTTGATACCATGCTTCAGGGTGCCTCTGCTTGCATGCAACCTCTAGGAACGTAAGCCCTTCCTTCCTCGATTCAACGCTTGGCTCGTACTTGTCCTATAAAGCCCATCATGCAAATTTAAACCCTCGAAACCGAGCGGACCTGAATGTAGATCTTTGCGAGCTCGTAAGCTGACAGAGAGTTAATGTGGTCGTCCGTGGAGGGATCCATGGCGGCCTTGAAGTACTTGACAGCCTGCGTTTGATTCACGCATGCGATAGAAGAATGTCTACCATGCACCAGGTCCATGTTTGCATCAACTCCGATGCCTTCCTTGTAGAAGCGACCCACTTCAAACTGCGTCACGCCCATCACTCCTCTGAGTCGACGAGCTCCAAAGTACCGTTGAATCTCGAATGCCTGCTTCTGCTGCAGCGAGAAGAAGTTCAAGCGCCTTTGCAAAATCCTGTAGCAAAGATCATTTGTCTCAGAAAGAAGGAGGAGGAAGCGAATTCCTGAACACAAGCGGTTCCATTGTAAAACATACAAGCCAAATTGTGCATTGCAAAAATACATCCAGTGTCTACACTTCTTCGAAGATAGTGTAACTGTTATGAAGTTAGACAGATTTGAAGCAACAAGCACGCTTATACCGCTAATTTTAGATCAGCTTCGTCTCGCGATGTTTGAAGAATACTTTGTGCCAGATCATTCAATGCCCTTCCGTGATTGCAATCGAGATCCACAGCGTCCTGTTTTCAACTGGTCACCGATTGTTCCGCATTTCATGAACCACCTGAAAATATTTTCTTGCCATCCTTTCATCTTTTGGCATGACTTCTCCGAGCTGTCATCTGACTATCACCTCATCACGATATCAAGGAGGAGCTCACACCGCGTAATATGTCCCCAAAGTGTAACACGCCTCTGCATCTCCTCTCTTTGCTCTCTTGCGTAGATCTTTGATTTCCTGCCAAACGAATTCAATATAGGAATTCAATTCTTGTAGATGCATGATCATAATATCGAATTTGAAAAAAAACCTCACTTCTTCCATTCTTTTCTTTGCTTCGAACGGAAATGAGAATTTCTCATAAGCGTCTTGAAATTCATTTTCTATCTCCAAACGGTCTTGTTCACCAAGATAGTAATCTTCTGCTTTAAATTCTGTCGAGCCTTATAGATTTGATTAGAACTTCTACACTGATTTCCGAGGTTGAATACTTTTCTTGCTGATTTTCGTGTCGGCGACCTGTAATGATCAGGTTAAGTGTTTTTTTAAGGAACAAAGATTTTGTTGTATCAATACTTCCAAAGAATCCCTAAAATTCTCTGTAATCGGCAACACCTGCCACAAGCTTGTTGGCAAGAGCGTGATCAGCATGCAAGAGTCGCACAAGGAAATCATCATTCACGTCCTTGCGATGCAACAACAGACTCTGGACAAAGCTTCAATGCTGGTTTCAAGAAGGCCTTGCAACGTACAGTTCCATTCAATTTTCTCAAGAAAGCTCCAAATCGATCGAATCCAAGCTCTTTCCATGGGCAGTCTTGGTCATATTTTTCCTGGTCGGAATTCTCTGCATCAAGATAAAAGTAATCAGCAATCATTCATAGACCTTCCAGTGGGTCCTAAGAGTTGCTGCCATGATTCCTTTAGGAAATCCGTTGACGAGATCGATCATCTACGAAGGGTCATAACAGGGATTCTCAAATTGCTTTCTCGACCTGTTTGTTCAAAGAGTCCGGAATAAAGATCTACCAAGCATTGAGAAGAGACTACAAAACGTTGAGACAATACCTGAGACGGAGATGTATTGTCCTTGTCGCTTTTGCCTCTCTTTCTGAAAAGATTTTCGAGCTGCATGATCTCTGTACGGTAAGGGTTTTGAGATGAGTCTAACAACCAAGAACCTCATCGTCATCATCCGGCTCCCGATTGTGATGTCCAGCTCCTTTGTCTTGAGGCAGTTGATTCTGCAAGAAGTCCCAGTAACCCAGCAGTCTCGTTTGATTCAATCAGCGGAGCTACATTGTCTGCTTGCACTCAAGTCAGTCACCATGTGCTGGTGCTTTCTTGTACCTTTGCTTCCACCAGCAATTTTGGAGCTCTTAGTGCCTTCCAGGTTGTAGCTTATCAGAAAACCTCGAATGGTACGAACCAGACTTACGACAATCTTTTTCGTGCTTGACCGCAACGTCCTCTACTCACAAGTATGTAACCAGCAGGAGAGATGCGATCCATCTCTTACCTGAGGAGAACCTCTTGGAACAGTATTCACACTCAAACATGGACTTTGAACATGACTCTTGTTCGTCACACGCCTGGAATTTGCAAGCAGACATCATGTGAATCTTTGATCTGTGAGGATGGACAGACCTCCCGTTTGACAGTGTCCCAATTCAGCTGCTGAATTTGGCTCGAACCGTCATCGAACACTTCGTTCTTGAATGGATGGCTCGATTCCGTATCTGTCTCCTGAAGTACAAGATATCAGCAAGGATGGAGTATGGAGTTTAGAAAAATCACGTTATAGTACTGGGCACCGTACATTGTTTCCATCAGCTTCTGGTGTTCCTCTAAAGACGCAAACATCAATGTTTTAGACAAATCCATCAAAGGTATGCCTTCGTCAAAATCAGAAGCTTCTTCGATCTGTTCACCGGAATGAGATGTGACATCGCTACAGCAAACTCCCCGCAATCACCTCTTTCAATGCTTTCTTCACTGCAGCATTCTTTATTCCTCTTCCAGCACCTGTTCTTCAACGTCACGTGCGATGATAAATTCTTCCCATTCATTCTACTCTGCCGGATCTCTTTCTCCATGTCATGACTACTCGTGGGTTGCGGTCGCTCCTGAACAGATGCCTGCCGAGGAATTCATGTGTAGGACGATCTCTACACTTTGCATCTCAAACCTGATTCCTCTCATCTTCAACATGTTTGTGTATTTCTTGCCAACTCATGCCCTGACTTTCTACCCAGTGTTCTCCTGTCCGCTTCCTTGGGTCCCAGCGTGCTCTCTCGTAGGAAGTAGCATTTTGCATCATTCTTTTCCTGCGACGCCGCGTCATGGCTCACAAGTTGTTTCAGCAGAGCACCTCTTCTCCTTGCGGCGCTCAGTCTTGGAAGACACGCCATGCCGTTGCAGGAGATGGTCGACCATGTTGTCGTCAATGTCTGGAATCTCTTCTGGCCGAACGTCCTTGAGCAACTCGGACAAGCCGCTTGAGCTGTCTGCTTCCATGGGGCGCTTCTTGATCTTAGGAGCTTGCACATACCTGAACTCCATCGGAGAGCCATTTCCCACACCATCTCCCAGCCCTCCCCTTAGCACCAACACCCTACCAACTCTTTCCTCTGAGACGAAGCAGGAGAAGCAACACACGATCACGAGACTTCGCAGCATGCTTCCATGCACGTCATGGCTCGCCAAGTCTGCCCCTTCCACCTTCTCCTTCCTCTGCAGCATATGCTGCCGTCAGGCTGGTCACACGATCCTGCATGGCCGGACGCATCCCATAGCCATGGGGCAGCACAGGATGCCAGGCCGACAAATAAGGGACAGCCAAAAGACAGCAAGAGTACGTGGAATGTCGGGGAGTTCCTTGGGAATGTCAAGGGAAAGAATGGGAGAGGGGGAGAGAAAGGCGGGAGGGAGGGAGCCAGAGAGGAGGGACGGAGGGAAGAAGGGAGCAAGGGAGGGAGCGAGCGAGGTAGCGAGGGAGCGAGGGAGCGAGGGAGCGAGGGAGCGAGGGAGCGAGGGAGCGAGGGAGCGAGGGAGCGAGGGAGCGAGGGAGCGAGGGAGCGAGGGAGCGAGGGAGGGAGCGAGGGAGCGAGGGAGCGAGGCAGCGAGGCAGCGAGGGAGCGAGGGAGCGAGGGAGCGAGGGAGCGAGGGAGCGAGCGAGCGAGGGAGGGAGGGAGAGAGGAGGGACGGAGGGAAGAAGGGAGCGAGCGAGCGAGCGAGGGAGGGAGGGAGGGAGCGAGCGAGGGAGCGAGCGAGGGTGCGAGGGAGGGAGGGAGCGAGGGAGGGATTGGTGGAATTATCATGTGGAGAGTCTTGACGGCACAGATGTGACAGCAGTCCTTCGCGGGTATCATGGTTTCGAAACTCATAGATCACTGGATGGCTGACGCCTACAAAGGTGAAGGATCTCTATTCCGCTCACTTTCATGACGTGCGTGCAGCTGGCATTCGATTTGTTCACAAAGAAATACCAGAGCTATTATCCTTGACGGCAGAGTAATGAGTTGGAGATATGAGGGCGATTTTTGACAAGCTTTCTTGTCCGAACAGTTCGCTGCGGAATGCTCCCTTCCCTGATTCCTTCGCTTCATGGCAACGATTGAGTGTAGACGACAAGTTTCGTTTGGTGTGTCTCGCGATTGTCAAGGAGTCGAAATGGATTCACGGATTTGCAGGTTCCCATAAGCTGTGCTTTGCTCTACGTCATCTCGCTCCCATTCCTCCTTCTGTACAATGATTCACGGCAAACCCCCAAAGTGAGTCCACCACAGCTCGCACGATCGTAACATTCGATCGAGTCTTCATGGACGTCTTGGTTGACCTGCCAACCGCAGGGCGCCAGTTGTCGCAAGGCAAGCTACTGGCTCACGAGATCCCTCTTATTGAAGTCGATGGGTGTGTGCTACCTCGCAGCTTTCCTGACGAGTGCCCTTCAAGCGAGAGCTCTCTTTGGTTCGAATGGTCTACAGCCGCTGACCTACTCCAACCGGCCTCGGCCAAGCCCCCTATTCTGGTTCTTAGTGGAGAGCCCTTACGGTCCGCAGCTGCCGTTCCATGACTGGATGTTGGAAGCAGCCTGTTGGTCGGGAGTTCTGCTCTCCCTGCTGCTGGTCTTCTCAGTGTTGAACTCCTTCCTCCTTCCTCTCAGCTTGTGGCTGCTTTACTTGTCGATCGTCAACCTGGGAGGATGGGTGATGAACTACGGGTGGGAATGGCTGACACTAGAGGTAGGCTTCCTCTCAATCTTCCTGTGCCCCGTCTTCTCCCTTTCACCCTTCCCAAGGGGGTATCCTCCTCCCCGGCTCGTGCTCTGGCTCTTTCGGTGGTGCGCATTTCGGCTCATGATTGGCGCTGGCATGTCGAAGATCGGCTCTCGCTCCTCCGCCTGCTGGAAGGAGCTGACCTGTACCACCACTCATTACTTCACACAGCCGATGCCGAACCCTCTCGCATGGTTCGCTCATCAACTTCCTCTTGACGTGCACAAGATTGAAGTGTCTCTGACCTTCTTCGAGCAACTGATTCTTCCCTTTGGTATCCTTGTTCCGATCAGGGCTGTCAGATTGTTCACAGCAGTCGCTGAGCTGCTATTCCAAGTGGGGATTGTGAGCACAGGGAACTACGCCTGGATCAACTTCATTGGTGCTGTGCCGTGTCTGGCTCTCCTAGATGATCATTTCTTGTCCTTGTTCTTCCAGTCTCCTCCACACGAAGATCCTGGCGAGGACAAGGAGCGTCCTTCCGCTTCCAGGGGGTTCGTTGGTTTCCTCTCTGGCTTGCGAGCATATTGCAGGCTCGTACTGCATGTCTCCCTTGTACTTTTTATTGGTTATAAGTCAGCAGCCCCGCTCAAAGAGCTTTTCAGCCCTTCTCCCTGGCTCCATTTCTATGATGACTACTTCTTTGTGAATGCGCAGGGTGTCTTCGGATTCATCAATCAGCACAGGGTCAACCTTGTGTTATCCTACACTCATGACAAGATTCCCAAATCAATCGTCAAGAACAAAAGCAAAGGTTGTGTAGATCACCCTGGGGTCATTGCAAATGATCCTTCAGGTAGATCGCTCAGGTAAATTTCTCCGTTGCAAAGCCTCAATGCTGATCTAGGATGTATTGATGGAATAGTTGTTCGGATTTGACATTTCATTGCAACAACAATCAAGTGCGAAGTCTCTGCAAACAGACTTGCAATGCATGTTCAAGTTATGCTTCAAAAGATTTCGAAGGAGTCTCATGGAAGCCGTTGGAATTCAAGAATCTCCCAGGAAATCCACGCAAGATGCCATGGTTCAATTCTCCTTATCATCACCGTCTAGATTGGGAGATTTGGATACACACAACAGGTCAGTGACTGTAAAGATCCGTCTAGTGTCTGTTGTCCACCCGGTGTCTGTAGTCCACCTAGTGTCTGTTAAGATCCGTCCAATCTCTGTGCATCTTGATCAAGCTGACTTTATGAGAAGCTTCCTTGGAGCATCCGGCACTCATGGGGCAGAAGCTCGACGTCCCTCCATTCCTCCAGAAGTTGGTCAGTACTTCACTCTTGTAGTCAGCCGTTGACTGTTGTTGAGTCATGATCACAGGTACAAAAGATCTTAGCTGGTGACTCTGATTCCGTTTCACTTGTTGGCACTCCATGGTCTGACTTGTTGCTTGTCGCCAACAATACGCGCAAGCGCTTAATGCCCCCTACTGCCATCAAAGCTCAATATTTCTTCTACACCTACACGTCCAACAGAGAGGACGGATCCTGGTGGAAACAGACTGCTATCAAAAACAACGATGAAATGTTTTGGATCGCCAAAACAGATCGATGGAAAGGAGGAACAATTGAGAGTTTGCCACATCGGAGTCGTATCCTTCTCTTCATTGTACTCTTCATTTTCATGAAATTGTTTGAATTCGTTGAATCTTTTGGTCACTCGGTGAGTAATAGCAGTAATCCCAAGGAATGGGTGCGGGTCAGCACCTCTCAATTCCTAATGCAAGTGTTGAATGGGATAGGAGGATGGACAGTGTTTCTGCAAACTCTCTTGTTGGACTACCCAGCGCTCAGGGGCGAAGTGTGCAAGCTTCATTCTTCAAACATCTTGGAGTTTGTCTTCGCCAAAGTTCTCTCTACGAATGCTCAAGCCAGTACACAGTACCAGTCTATTTTTGTGATTTCTTTGCTCCTTGGAATCGTCAATTCAGCGAATTGTTTTGAGGTCCTGGATACATTCAAGGCGATATGCATGAAAATCGGAGGTCTTGCCTTATGTTTTCTTCTAATCTTCACATCGTACGATGCCTACAAAATATCTCAGAACCTGCAAGAGTAATATGCTCAAAGACTCAGCCATCAAGAATTAACATGTCTTTACTGATTGTTAACAGATTATTTGTTCGGATCTTTGCCAGCTTTTTGCGACTTCATGACCTTGCTTTCAGACCCTTTTCCGCTCTTTCCATCGGCGCCTTCGAATTTTCCCACGATTTCGGAAACGAGCTTATGCGTATAGGCTCCAGTATTCTGACCTTGATTCTGTTTGTTTATTCTCCGAACATGTGTTTCTGGTGTCAGCTGCCAATCAACTTCGCTGCCTTGAATTTCAAAATACTTGTGATCTCCAATGCCAATAGATGGGGGGGTGTCCTTGAAATATTTCTCTCTCACAACAGTGTGGTCTTTGGGCGTCTGAAAAGCCGAGTTGGATCTGGGATAACATCGTGAGTCGCTGTAATTCTCTCCATCGGGACTTGAACACGTCATGAACTCGTTGGCCTGCTTCAGAGCAGCAAGAGCAGCTGCCTCTCGTTTCCGAGCCTCCTCAGCTGCAATCTCCTCCTCCATGCAAGTCTGCAAGACCTTTTGCAACTGTTGGTGGAGGTTCTCGCGCTCTCTCAACCATTGATTCCTTTCTTCTTCGAATTGCACCTTCAACCCTTCAAATCCTCCCCCATCTTCCGCTGTACTAGCCCTATCTTTGTGGTCAGTACAGGAATCACGAGTTTGGATCTGCAAAGCACCTGGCAGAACTTGAAACTCTCTGATTTTGTAGTTTTATCTTGTTCTCCAATTCGTATATCCGATTATCCTTTTCTTGCAACGCATCCTGTAAGCTGTAATGCAAATCAGCGGGTAATTCCTCACAACACAATTTGGAATACCTTAAGATGCGAATTTGCTCATTGACTTTGCTTGTAGGAGAATTAGCGTTTTCACTTTGAACCGAGCTGGACTCTTTTGAAGATATCTTTAACCTCTCCAAAGTCCTTGTGTATTCCTTTTCTCTCTGTTCGTGCTCCCTTATCGAGGTTTCGAATTCCAGTAAAAGATCATCCTTTTCTCTCACCTTCAAGAGGGCATCATCGAGCTTTTGTATTTTATCTGCAAGAGAGTTCTTCAGGTCCATGACAGATTCTTCTGCATTTTGTCGCTTCTTTCGTTCAACGTCAAAATCTTGTCTCAGACGTTCGAATTCCTTCTCTCTTCTTTCTGCTTGTTTCACACGAGTCATATCAGATTCATTATGCTGAGACAGAGATGACTTCAACTCTTCAAGAGCAATTTCAGTCTCTTGCCGTTTTCTGCTTTCTTTTTCAAGTTCGTCTACTATCTCGCTTTGCTTCCTTCTTTGTTGACGAAGCTCTTCATTCAATACTTTGATCTTCTCTTCAAGCTCCGAAGTTCTTTCTTTCTCTTGAGATAGATTATGACGAAGGCTATCAATTTCCATCGAAGTAACAACATTTTCACGAATCGTGCTCTTCATATTTTCTGTTGCAGCCTCGGCGTCTGCTTTTGCATTTTTCAAAGAATGCAAATATTCCTCCGACTTTGCTTCTTCTTCCTCAAGGCCCTTCTTTAGCTTTGCAATTTGTAGTTTTTTGACTTCCAATTCGTCTCTCAGAGCAATCATTTCTGACTTGAGGCTGTGATATCTTTCTTCGTTTGCTTCAGAATTCTCACTTTCGAACCGCTGACGAATATGCCTTTCCTCTTCTAGGTCAGCGCGGATTCTCTCTAATTCCTGATCCCTCCTTTCGTCTTCCATTGATCGTATTTTCTCTTCTTCAACCATTGCAAGCTTCATCATCTGGAGGTTCTTTTCAATCTGATTCTTAGATTCAGCGACCTCAGCTAATGCGTTGTGAAGCCGTTCATTGTCGTTCTGTAAGGAAAGGATTTGGTCTCTTGAATACGCTTCACTTTGCTGATTTTCGAGCTTTTCCATCAAGTCCCGACTTTTCTTTCTTTCAAGATCAAGTTCCGCTTGTATTCTTTTCAAATGCTTGCTTCTTTCCTCCTCTCGTATTTGATCAGCTTCAATATTTTTCGATAGCGTCTGCTTAACTTTTCTCAATAAATCTTCGGCTTCTTCCCTTCGTTCTTTCTCTTTTGATAAAGATTTCCTTAGGCTCTCTACTTCGTTACATAACGTTTCTACTTCATTGCATAGGGTTTCATAGTCTTCTCTGTCATTCTCAACAGGTTCCTTGGAACGATTCCGTAGAAATTCATGTTCGATTATTCGAGTTACATTTAGCAGTTCCTTGGTAAACAAAATTGTTTCTCTCAAAACGTGATGAACTGTGGGATTTTGCAGTGGATTCTTTTCTGTGTATTTGACCTGACTCACCTGAACTGTACTGGCTTTACTTTCTTCGGAATTCTTTCGCGATACTCCTGACCCTGCGACGTGCTGATCCCTGGAAAATGTATGTCCAATAGAGTTCTTTTTCGCGTCGAACTTTGAATCAGACTTGTCTTGTTTACTCCTTGACGCCTTAGAAGGGATTCGACTTCGTGGTGTCACAATCACAGGATTTGTTTGAAATTTGGCTCTGTCAAACGGCGCTTTGTTTTCTGAGCTCGCAGAGGTCCACTTGAGAGTCTCGCTCTTTGGACGCAGGTCATGTTGAAGTTTGTCTTGTTTTTCAATCGAAGTGCCGAATAGATTCACAGGGTTTGCACGCGGAAAAATGTTCTGAGCTGTGTTGATCGCGTCTTCTTGCCATTTTAGCAATCCAGACCAGGGGCTGTCAGGAGCTGATATTATGCTTTGAAAGAAAGCCCCTGCACCTGAATTTCGATTCTCTGATTCTGCTCCAGCCTGTGCACTCAATGGTCTGCTGGTCTGCCGGCTAGGCGTGTTCCTTTCACCAAGACTTCTCTCATGAGGTTTGGACCCCAGCAGGAAACTCATGGCTGAGCTGCTTACCAAGGGAAGTGCAGCTATCACAAGCAAGAATCAACAGATGGTGGTATGTCTATGTTGACTAGCGATGCTTTTCAGGGCAGTTTTGCGGCCATGAAACATTCTGCAGGCCGCGCACTTCTGGCAGTGTCGGCCATGCAGCCTACAGTTACAGAAGGTGGGGGTTGACCAAAAAGGGCCTGGGGTGGTGATAGAGAAGTAGGGGTACGATTGTGGGAAGACTAGGGGTACCGCTCAGCCAGTTGCCCACTAGAACCTTTGATAAGTAAAATTTTAGCGAACAGTGTTTTAACTTAACTTCGAGAGTGTCCGGGTGTCCCGGTCCAGTGAATCCCGCCGAGTCTCAGTCTATTACGCCGCTGCTATCATACTCAGTGGCCGACCGTGCTCGAATCTCCTTCCAAAGTGCTTTTACTCATAGGTAAGTCAAAAATCAGTACGGTACGTCAGCCTGGGTGACGGAGCACACTGGCAAGTTTCAAGTTGCTCAAGACCGAGTTTAATATACACAAACTTGACCGTACCAGAATTGAGGAGCACATGAGAGATAGACTGTATGATAGGATGTAAAACCCAAGCACCCAGACATGAGAGGACCTTAGCCTCGCAAGACGGCTAGGAAAGCCCCGCCGAGTCTTCAAGCCTTCGTCACAGGGGCGGGCCGGGGCCGGGGCCCGGCCAGTGGACCGTAATCAGGACTGAGAGCACTGAGAGGAGGCTTCGGACCGTCCTGACACTGTCCGACCGCACAGGGCATACGGCGGTGGTCGGCCCGTCACTCCGGGCCACCGTAGTACCACCTAGTGCTAGTTCGATAGAAGCTGCGCGCGGCGCCGCCGCCAGTCACTGCCCGGCCCGGCGGGGCCCGGCCCGACCGGGCTGAGCTGCGGCAGTTACACTGACCGTTATGATGGGGGCCAACGAGAGCCGCAATGAAGGCTTGGCGCCTGCTTTTGGCAGCGATCGTAGCCGCTGATTGGTCATGCCGGGCAGAGATTCTTGGACAGACAGCGAAAATGGCTTCCATATCATCAACGTACTCCCATTTTCAAAATGAGAAGAAGAAGTCTCGCTCTCTCTGCCAGCTTTCCCGCTTTTCGAGAATTCGTGGAGGATCCGGTCAAGACTGCCAGTCGGACGCGGGTGGTCTGCCAAGCATCTCGAATCAAGGACAGGGCGATGATATTACAATCCAAGGTACTTGATGAAAGACATGTTATACACTATTGCGTGATGTGTGTGCTTTGCTAAGTACAAGGTAAAGCAGATAACCTTGACGCGGAAAACTCCACCGCGCAGCTGCTTGAAAGACTTAAGCTGGAGAAAGATGAAGATGGCAAGCCACTCAGTAAGAATGAAATCAAAAGAAGATTGAAGGCTCATGAAAAAGAACTGAAGAAAATGTCACAAAACAAGATTCAAATTCCGAAGTCACAGGTCTAGTTGTACAAGCTTGGTCTACGATGTTTTGAAACACCTGAAGGAGAAGAAAGAGGATGACGAAGATCTTGACCCTACACGGTACTTTGAAAATCGCATCGTCTCGGTTAACAAGCTCAAGAACTCGGGTACACATTCTATGAGCCGGTTTTGAACTCAATGGAGGCGCAGGGTATCGTTTTCCACCAAGATATGACATCACAATGTCCCTGACGAACTTTCGAAAAAAATATGATGGGCAAGAAAAGCTACAATCATGCAAGAAGAACGGCTGAAATTTTGTTTTCTTGAAGGAATATAAATCCAGGAGATCAGATTAGCTCTGTTGAAGAAAGGGTCATTCTTCATGTTGTTAGACTGATGTGTCCTTCTGAGAGTGATAGCAGGTTGCTGGTAGAATAACACAGAAAAGACAACAGGTGTGCTCGTTGCTTTTTTGCTATCGATGCTTTGATGGGCTGATATTCAACTTTGTTGCCAGGGGCGACTCATCTTTTATGATGTCCGCTCGGACGGAGAGAGGCTACAGGTGCGCTAAAGAGAGAAGTCTCCGCGAGTTGATGCGTGCATGGCAGATCATGGCGAGTAGTGCAAACTTCGAGAGCGAAGAACAATTTCGCGATCAGAATGAGATTTTGAGACGTGGAGACTTGATTGGAGTGGTTGGTCATCCGGTAGGAAAGATAATCTTTTCAGCTTTTGCGAATCGCAATCAATCCTTTATTTACAACGCTGTCTTAGGGATGCTCTAAAAGCGGAGAACTTTCGATTATAGCAAGAGAGGCAAATCTTGATTGGAAGATTGTGGATGCTGAATATATTCTACATTTCAGCTCACCCTCTTATCCCCTTGTCTCCGCATGCTTCCTAAGCATTCCTTGAAAGATCAAGAAACAAGGTCCGTGTGTCCTGTCAATCAATTTTTTGGGTGGCTTATTTGATCACGCTTCAGATACAGACAAAGATACTTAGACCTCATCATGAACCCCAATGTAAGATTTTTCCAGATTGCTTCACTCAGGACGTTACCCGTGTACACAAGATTGATCCCCTTGCAATTTTTTGTTTATGAATAGTCGTTACTTGCAGGTTCGAGAGACTTTTGTTCTTAGAAGTTCGATCATTCAGGAGGAAATTTGGTCAATTGAAATCTATTTTTTCGCTGAAAGCCTATGACAGGTTCGAGAGTATCTCATTCAAAGGAACTTTCTTGAAGTCGAAACTCCCATCTTGAATACAGTTCGTCAGTTATGTACCTTGTTGTCTTTCTGAGGTGAACTCAGGTGCCTGGAGGAGCCAATGCGAAACCTTTCATTACTCATCACAATGAGCTTGGAATGGATATGTAAACTGAAGTCACATGTTCGCCTGATAACACAACTTGTGGTAGGTATCTACGAATTGCTCCAGAACTTTATCTTAAACAGCTTGTTGTGGTAACTCATGCACTCGTACTTTTCTCCCCATGACATGATTTGAAGGGTGGACTGGATCGTGTATTTGAAATAGGCCGTTTGTTTCGAAACGAAGGCATTGACATGGTAACTAAACACTGATACTTGTGCTGAACTCTACTTTTCCTGAAATATTTTCAAGACACATAATCCAGAATTCACTACTTGCGAATTTTACATGGCATATGCTGACTATGAGGATCTTTTATGCATGGTGTAAATGTCTATTGCTATATTTTCTATCTCTGTGAGGCATGCAGCAGACCGAAGACATGCTTAGTAACATGGTGAAGAAACTAACTGGATCTTACATCGTTGTATACAACAACCAAGTGAGCAGATTTCTAGCAAGGCATGATGCGACGAGAGATTGAGTCATTTATGCAGACAATCGATTTCACGCCACCTTTCAGGCGTGTGCAAATGATTCCAGCATTGGAAGAGGCTCTTGGAGTGAAGTTCAGTGAGGTAAGTGGTTCATCCAGAAGTTTTACAATTTTGTTCATCTTTGTCCCTAGGACTTGGAATCAAGCAACATGAATACAATACTCATGGTGACGCGACAATGCAAAATTTGTATGCTCTCATTGCAGTAAGACTTCCTAGGAACTTTGCAAAAAGCATGATGTTACTTGCCCACCGCCAACGACAAACGCACGATTGCTGGATAAGCTTGGTGCAAATATGTTTACGCTTCAAACGTGCTCAAGTCACTGCACAGTTGGAGCTTTCGTGGAATCAAAATGTATCAATCCAACATTTGTGATGGACCATCCGATTATCATGTCGCCTCTTGCACGAAACCATCGCAATTGCTCAGGTTGTGTGGTTACAGACAAGATCTATGAGTTTGCTTACGTATTAGCAGGGTTGACTGAACGATTCGAACTGTTCATAAATGGAGTACCATATACTCAGTCCAGGATCTCTTAGTCTAACCATAGACACAGATGGAGTATTGTAACGCTTACTCTGAGTTGAATGACCCAGTCGAACAGGTTCCCATGTTTTGTTTGTACTCTGTTTGTCATCTTCGTTTCCAACCACTGATGTGAAATGGCAGAGGAAGCGATTTGAGCAGCAGGCGCTTTCACACGCCTCGGGAGATGCAGAAGCACAGGTTGTGTTACGATCAAACGACTGCTGACTTGAGTCCTGACACCTGCAAAAGTTGCTCGATGAAAATTTCTGCGTCGCTCTTGAGTGAGTTGGCTGCATGTCAAAAGAAGAAGTTGATGTCATGCTCTTGCAGGCACGGGTTGCCGCCAACTGCTGGATGGGGCTTGGGAATCGATAGGTTGACCATGTTGCTCTCGAACAACAACAACATCAAGGAGGTTTGATCCCCACATCTTCACAGTTGAGAGCAGCTCAACCATGTTCGGCAGGTGCTTCTTTTTCCTGCCATGAAACCTCAAGACTAGCCATTACCCGTGGATCAGCAAACAGCTACTACTTGATACTCTAATCGTCCTCGACATGTGGCGGGTGACTCGCTCGAGTTCCAACTCAGGTCCCCCCGGCCGGGCGGCGCCGAGTCGGACAAAATCAAATCCCGGGCAACTCCATGCACTTCTGAAATAGCTAGCCAACCCTCCTCCAGTTTTATGAAGTACGGGTGGGTAGCTAAAAGTATGGGTGGCTCACACAAACACGGGTGCAAGACGAGAAAAATCCCAAAGCTGTAGAGTAAATACTAGGGGTCCGAAAAGATCGGTGTGGGTTCCCCTCTGCAGGAGATTAAATTATGGGGGTGGGGGTGGGTCATGCAAGGAGATATCACCATGGTGCGGCGAGTGCTTGTGATCATAGCAGCGATGATGGCAGGAAAGGGAGCGGAAGCCTTCGCTTTAACCCAGCCGCATCTTTCTCATCTTACAGTCTCTCAGCCTTCTCCCCAAAGCTTCTCGAAGGTGAGGAGACCTGACCTGATCTTGAACCCTTTTGCCCTCTGTTTGCGCTTTCATAAAGGGTCATGGAATATGCCTGGGCAGTCCAGTAGATTTGTTAGCAAACTACCGAATTCTTGTGCGGTTGTTTTACCCCTCCAAAGATTGACTGTGTTAGGATGGAATGGGTTGTTTTCTTCGTGTGTACATTGACTGTGTCGTTGATTTGATCAGGTGTGGAGGCCGCTGGTGCTGCGGAGCGCAAAGAGATCACTCCTCGCATTGAAGGATACAGACTCGATTGTTTCTCCTTTTGATCCATCTGTAGATGTGAGAATGTTTGCAATATCTTGCGGGAAAGATATGTGAAACTATTTTTGTAGCCACTTCTTCCAAAAGAGACTGAAGAAAGCCCTACTGACTTGGATGTAACCGAATGTTGCGTGCCAAGTCCATGTACCTGACGTCTAGCTCCACATAGGGTCCTTTGCCTCTCACATGGGAAAATGTTGAGAAAGTGTTGGACACTATGCGACCCTACTTGATGAGTGATGGGGGCAACGTGAAGATCGCGGACATCGATGGCGGGGTAAATGAATTTCTGCTTCATTGGATTTATGCCTTGCGAATTAGTCGCATGCAGAAGCTCTGACGGTTGATTTATTCATAGATTGTACGTTTGAAACTTGAAGGTGCCTGCGGTACTTGTCCTTCATCTACCATGACAATGAAGGTATTCGCCAAAAACCACCTTTCATATTCTGTTGAAATTCAGTTCAGATGGGTTTAGAACGCGGTCTGCGTGAGAAGATTCCAGAGATTGTGGATGTTGTGCAGGTTGATATCCGCTTTCCTACCTTGAGACCATTTCAGTCGGTTTTGATTTGCAACTGTATTCAGGATCTTGGTGACGGGGGCCCAGAACTATCTCCTGATTCAGTAGAAAAAGTCCTGGATACGGTTCGAAGTACGAGAGTGATTGAGCCAATGACTGACGTGTCTTGATCCACAAGGTGCGCCCATTCTTGAAGGTCGCAGGAGGCTCGATAGAGTTGTTCGATTTGCGTGGTGTAGGTGGAATGCAGCCGGTATTGTAGTCGTTTCGAGTTTTCACAACATTGACCACCGTGAAAGGTAATCATTCTCAAGATGACCGGAACCAGCGCAGCTCTACGAAGCGTCAAAAATGAAATTGTGCAGAGACTACAGGTTGAATCTTTGCTAACAATCATCAGCTCCGTTTCTGATCCTTTCCTTGGTAGCGCAATTTCATGCTTGCCGGCTTGAGAATTGAATGGACCGATTAAAAGCAACCCATGTTCGCACCCTTGTGTTTTTAATGATCGCTGTCGGCAGCTTGAGGAATATTAAATGAAAGAACTCTTCGACGGCTCTTGTGCCTGTGCCGCCACGGCCTGCCCATGCAGAAGAGGCTGCCCACGGCCTGACTGCCGTGGCCCAAGCTGTGAGCTGCAGTGCACAGCGGCACGGCCCGGCGCAGCAGGCCGGCGCCCTTGGGCCGGCGCATGACTGCCGGGCCCGCACTGCCGTCCGACACTACCGTACGGTACTGGCCGTCGGCCATACCGTCAGCATTCCGCAGAGTCCGTGCCGGGGTTGGGCATGAGCGGGGATGAGAAATTTCTGGAAATTCTCGTTCGATGCCAGGTCGCATGATTCAGTCGCTCAATCGTGGGCGACAGTTATGGAGGAGAGCGACGGGATGGGCGAGCAACATGGCAAGCAAGACAGAAGAACTTCGTTCCAGACCTCTTCTTTTCAGCGAAGGTAGAGTGTCGAGGTTGCACGCAAGTAGGAGGTGGTTCGCGGGAATGAATTTCTCGATGGCTGTATCCGCAAAGAAAACGAACGTGGGAATGTTTGTAGCTTCTGGTCTTGGAGCTCTCTCATTGGGTGTTTTTTTTGTTGAAAATGCACACATGGAAGGTTATCGCAAAGGGCATATGTTAAATGCAGATGAAACCAAAAAAGCCATACAGGAGAGACTGTCAAGAATCAGTCCTGTATTAGATGGCGCTGTTCTACCCTGGCAATGTAAATCTTTGGCCAATTCAACTAAGGTGAGCTTCAAAATAAATCCGGGTTGTGACCAGTTCTTTATACTGATGACGTCGGTGTTTGAAATGTCTGCCAGTAAACGGACGAGCGATGCAAAGCAATCTGTTGAAGGTGGAATGAGGGCCTGGGATGACGAGAAAACCTCGTCAGGCTTTGAGGTTTCGCTGCTTTGTACACACGATCGAAAAGCTACTATCAGAGTTGTTATTCCTTGGAAGAACGCTGAGCTTCCCGAGGTTGAGATAGAGATGGAAGGAGGAGGATTTACTCGAGAGGAAGCTTTTGCAGTTGGAAGAATGATACACATGGGGAACCTGTCTCCGATGCAGAATGAGTTGATGGTTATGAAGGACATGATGACCCCCTTTGGGCCTGCGGTCCCATGGCCCAAGGCACAAGACCATTTGACTTCCAACCACAGTGGAAATTCAGTCGAATCGATCATATCACAGATGGAGGAAATGGGAGCTCAAGTCTTCCACTCTCAGAAAGGGAGATGTGCAAACATCTCATGGGACTACTTATCGGGGATAGATGATATCAAACAAGAAGTCGAAGATACCATCATGCTGCTCATGCTGCATCCTGAAAAGTATGCCAGAGTGATCTCGGGAACCCGTGCAGATTCGTCGGAGAACAACCGCCCGAAGGCAGTGCTCTTTGAAGGTCCACCAGGCTGCGGAAAGACAACCATGTGCGTCTCTTGAAAGAGTTTTCGGTCTTCACTGATTGTCGGAGGGAGCAGGGCGAGAATGATAGCAAACAAAGCTGACATCCCTATGATCTACCTGCCGCTCGAAGCTGTTGTGTCCAAGTGGTATGGGGAAGCAGAGAAGAGGCTCTCATCGGTGATAGTCATCTTTCTGAGGCTCTGTTGCTGAGAAGTAGACAGATCATGGACCTGACGGGCAAGCTGGCTGATCTAGATCGGAACAAAGGAGCACTTCTGTTCCTGGATGAAATCGAAGCACTAGCTGTTTCTAGAGATGGTGAAATCCATGAAGCATCGAGACGAATGCTCTCCGTCCTCCTCAGAACGTACCTGTGTTTGCTGATTGAAATGTTGTAACCTGTCTTGCCTCTGCAGGATCGATGGCTTTCAGACTAAGGACGGCCTGATTGTGATAGGAGCGACAAATCGAGTGGGTGACATCGACAGCGCACTGCGCAGCCGTTTTGACGTAAGCATCAAATTCGATCTCCCGGATGAGCAGAGTCGCAAGCAGATCGTTGCAAGAATGACCAGACATCTAAGTGGTCTGGAGCAGCAGAAGCTTGCTCAGCGAATGGCTGGTTTCTCAGGCAGAAATATTCGTGACGTTTGCGAACAAGCAGAACGCAGATGGGCAGCGAAGATCATTCGGGGAAAAGCTCCTGAAGATCAGCTACCGCCTATGGAAGAGTATATTTCTGCCATTCAATCACGCATCAACTCTGGTCTGCAGTGAAGTTTGCTATCATCGTGCACTTTTGTCAAAAAGGATTAATCCTTTTACACGCCAAACTAATTCGCACTTCAAAAGTTTCTCGTTGCTTAGAATACCGGTGATCCGTAATCTCTGAGGGATTCACCATCTGCAAAGTAATGTTAGAGCCTGTATAAGTTTGGGAAGATTTCACATTCAACAGCTCGCAGCTGTACTTCCAGTTGTGCCAGACGGTCTTTAGGCACCTGCGGAAGCATTTTCAACGATCGTCACGTCAAAATGGATCAAACACGTGCCTTCGATTGCGATTCTCCTGTACTTCCCTTGTCTTGATTTACAGGGCGCTTGAGTCCATCAAGCAGGAAGGATTGTCTCAGATCGGCTGCACTGCTCAATTCTTTGTTTGATCCGAGAGAAGTTAACGAACTTCGAAAGCTTGGTTTGTTCGTCAGTGCAGGACTGAATCTGTCATTGGAAATAGACGGCGATTTGCTGCCCTGTTTGCCTTGAAGAGCATTTCGAATCGACGCTAGACATCGATTCACGATCGCAACGGCAAGCTCAACTAAAACAACTCAGAACTTTTGAGATAGAAAAGCAGGGGATACCTGAAGCATCTGATCTTGTAATTTCTTTTTTCAGAATCTCCTGCAGATTATCCCATTCGTCTCCACCACACACCGAGGGAAGACAGCGGGCGCTGTTGAGAGCCTGAAATGATGTCAACGGCTTGCCAATCAAGCTGGAGATGATTTACCTGTTCCATGTATTTGCAAGCCCTGTCGATTCTTCCCTCCTTGGAGGTCAAGATAGTGGTAGCATTTGAGAGCAAGGCAATGATCTCTTTCTCTGATGAAATCAACAGTGAATTTCTCTTCCTCTCCAATTGATTCGATGGAGAAATTGAACGCGCTGCTGTGTAGCTGGGAACACTTGTCGCAAATAGATTAGCAGCAGAATATGTTATGTCCGATCCTCTTGCCGACGTCAAAGAGGAGTACAATGGTGTGTCCGAGGAACTACCGAGTACTTCTTCTTTGCCATTTGTAGAATCATAAATGTAGCCAAATCTCTGTTTGCTGTCAACAGAGGAGTAAAGATTTGGATTTGAGCTTCGGACATCTAAACCGAAAGGGTTACTGACAGTCAACTGCTGTTTAGATTTACGGAGAAAGCTAGTGGTAGGATCCCCTAATCCCGAGACATTTCGACGAAACGCAACATCTCCTTTTGAAGGAGGCGACTTGTCATCTGGATTGAGGTGTCAATGGACGAAGCTTTTCATTGTCACAAAACTTCCAACCATTTCCTGATGGAGCCCTTGGAGGTTTCCATGAAGCCTGTGTGAAGCCACATCAAAGGAAATGGTTACATTTCAAACTCCTTAAAATTTTCTTACTCCATTGGAGGACCACAGATTCAATTTCTCGCTATCTTCAGCAATGATGAAGGGCTCCTGAAAAGCAGTCAGGCACACTTCTTCAAGCTCATCACATACGTCTTGTTCGAGATTTCCAACAATTGCCAAACCGTCGAAAATTTTGAAAGTCAAATTGGATGGAACTGTATGACCCGCTGCCTGTAAAGACTTCGAACCATCCAGAGCCTCCTTCAGATACTTCCTAGCCTGGTCACAATGGCAGTGAGCGAGTTTCAGTGTTTTCGAGGTCAGAGTTGAAACCTGTTGGTATCTTCCTCGTTTCAGCAGGTCTGTTCCAGTGGATGCAAGAGCTTCTATCACCTTGACATCTGTTGTGGTAAGCGGAGGGGGTTCGTCTTGATAGCGTGTTCTTAATGAACTCTGTTGCATTGCAATCAGTTGCGTCAGGATTTGTCCTCACAGATCTCTTACCTTTTCACCTAAACTTAGAAGCTTTTCGCCTTTTTGCACCGAAAACAGTGGATTCAACATCAATTCGACAACTCTTGGACAGACCTGCTCCTGGCAGACTCATTGACGAAGTTGTGCTGTAGGCACCAGCTGAAGCAAAGATTGAGGGCATGAATTGAGGCGATAATGCCGATTGCAAGGGACTTGTTCCGGTTGCATGTACTGGGTCTGAAAACGCTGGCAAGGATGCATAAAGCGGATCAGAAGACCTCTGCCCTGGAGATTTGCTTTGAATCCTGCTGGGCGATGGTAAGAGACCATCAGTAACTGCATCGTAGTTCCAGGATCCAGTGAGGCTAGATTCAGGAAGATTCGATTTGCTGCGCTCGTTGTTGAGCAAGTAGGCAGACATTTCTCTCTCATCAGCTATATCATTTCTGTCAAGAACTGCCCATCTTGACGGAATTTCTGGTTTGCTAGGAGAAATCTGACAAATGATAGTCACTGAAGCAGTCAGAATTTTCATAGTCTTTCTTTGCCCCCCCAAAAGTCCAAGCTGACCTCTGTGGAAAGCGACCCTCTTGGAGAACAAATTGTCGAAATCTTGACAGTGTCCTGAATGATCTGATTTGGTCCAGGAGGACCGCGAAGTATAGCACGACAGGCCTTCTTGGTTGTTATAGCCGCTCGCAGTGCACTTGATGGATCAGAAACCTTTTCCAGCACAACTCAGAATATCATTCTTTCAACCAAGAGATGAAGACAATACCTGAGCTGCCAATTCATATGCAAGCACTTTTGGCGTTCGATTATCTCTCATGGTGTCAGAATCCCTGAAAACATTGTCAAAAAGAGAACTCCAACAAGCAGTTTACCCTTGGGCTGGCATTAGGCAAATTTCGGCAATTATGCTTCCCCGATTCAAGGCAATTATCACCACTCGATGCTCATCAGTATTGAGAGCTGACACAATATCCTGTTTTGCATTTGAGAAAATGTAAATTGAAAATATCAGATAAACTTTCACATTTCACCTTTTTCAATTGGTTCTGAAAAGCAGATTTACGAGCTACAGTGGATAGAAACTGATCATATTCCAAGTCTAATGTCAAGCTCACAAGCTCTGGCGATACAGATTGCATGTTTTCAGCCATTGAATCATTCAAAGAATGTTCCGTTCGCTTGCTTTCAAAGTCCAGAATATCTAATTCTTTTTGCGATACTTCCAATTCAGTATGATGTGATTTACGGATTGCTGCAGTTGCGCTTTGTGACCCCAACCTGATGTCATCTAAAGCCGATGGTAGCATAGCAAGTGCTGCTTCGGTCAATTCTTCGTCTGTAGGAGCTCTTTTTGATCTGTCATCTACCGGCATCTTGACTTGGACCTCTACGTCTCCAGCTTCCTTGAATGATCTGCCGTTTGAAACGCTCATCATGTCCTGAATTTCCTTTTCCTTCTGTTCCAATGCCATCTGCTTCTGCAACAGCTCACTCTGCTGCTTTTCAAGGTCAGCTGCGATCTTCATTTGCTCTGCAAAGAGGTGCTCTTGCTGCAGACGCTTTTCTTCCAATTCTCTTTCCTGCTGTACCTTCCATGCCACAAATGATGCCTTTTCATCCTCACTGATGCCAATTTTCTTCTGTTCGTCCATCGATACGCTTGGTGCAACACTTTCGGTATTGTTTGAGACAGATGGTTCACTCTGTGCAACATCATTGGGAAATGTGCTCGGCGAAATTGGAGAGGGCGCCCGGTAGACTGCAGAAGGTGCAAAGGGATTGATGGGCGGCGAAGTTGGAATCGAACTCTGTAAAACCTTGACAGAGTTTGGTGCAGGCACGGCCGACTGCAGGCTGGGAGACGATATACTTCCGCTTTTTGGAGTGGAGGATTCGGATATTGGAGGAAGTGAATTACCCTACAAAATTTTTGAATAAAGAGATGCTCCCAGAAAACAAACTTTGTTACCTGAGCAGTCACAGGTTTCTGCTTCATGTATCCTGGTGGATTCACGGAAGTGGTTTCCGTCATCTTCTCAAGATAATATGATGCTCTCAGTTCTTCTTGAGAAAAATTGCTGTATTCTGGAATCGCAGTGATCGTCCTCAATGACTCCTTCGAGCGCTTTCCCTTTTTGTTATCGATGCTGTTCAAGAATCAAACTCACATTTAGCCGTCGACACATGACCGTCTACCTTCTTGCAGAATGTCTTTCGCTTTCAGAGACAGCATCGCCGATACCTGAGATATCAGCCCTGTAGAAATCTATATTTCAGAAACTTACTTGACTTAGGCGAGGAACTCCATGGTGCTTTGACTGAGTTTGAATTGATGGTCGAATGCTCAGCAACAGCAGAGAATGTCGATATTTTTCCGGAAGAAACGACAGGAATCTCTGTTGGCACGGGAGCTGTTTTTTCTGAACGGGTTTGAGTATTCTAGTCATTCCAAAAGTACCATTTACAAACAGATCACTACCTTCGCCGACTTGATGTGATCCTATCTTCCCATATTCAGAAGTAGTGATTGGCTGGGATGTCACCTATGTATACAAGGAACATGTTACTGCTACGGATTGCGCCGAACGGATCAAAAGTTTACCTCTAGCGAATCTGATCTTTGGGAGATCGCGATGGCTCTTGTAAGGGCAAACTGAACCTGGAATCACTCTTCAGAAAGACATAATATGAGAATCAGACATCTCTACAATTTGGCCGTCTCTTAAAACTTCAAGCTCCACTCTTGTTCCTTTGGGTCCTTTCAAGCGGGAAACTACCATTTCAAGGGACAAGCCTGAATGATCATCACGGGAAATTGAGTCCATAGCTATGAAAAATGAAGTACCGAGTATCGGATTGCCGTCGATTGATTTGATGATCTGGCGCCATTGTAAGAGACGGGCACTTGTAGAGAATCTACGAAAATGTGAACACTTACGTCTCCGACTGCAACAAGACCGCTTGTCTGTGCAGGACCGCCGTTAAAGAGGTGCATGATTTCCATGTTCTGTGGGTTGGATCTTGATGGTTGAAGTACAATACCGATACCTCCCAACTCTTGGCTTTCGCTCGTCTGAATTGTAGGTGCAATGCTCGGGGTATTCATACTCCTTACATCCAGAGAATTCGGTGTCGGGACCGGACTCCGATTTGTCATTGTAGTTGGTTCAACTGGAGAACCTTTTGCAGGAGACTGTTGGCCTTCTTTCGAAAGCGAATTCTTCTTCCTGAAAATACTCAACATGATGTCGAATTCAAACCAAAAGGTGAGATTCCAGTAGTATCAAATGACCGAGAGAAACAGAGAATTGAATCAATCAAGATCCGTTGGAATGCTGTGAAGCTGCTCTACAAGTCTCGATGCGAGGGCGTCAGCGCTCAAATTTGCCAGTAGGCGCTCTTAATTGGATCACTGACCATTTTGCCGCTGCTCTGGGCTCACTTAGGGGCCAGAGCTAGTGGGGTACTTTAGTTAGGGGTGGGATTACAAAGAGTGTGCGGCAAGGGGGTGGTATTCCATGATGTGTTGAGAGACCCGGAGGGGTGGGGTCCCCTGCTGCTCCGTCGCCGGTGCATTTATTGCCTCCTCATACAGCGCGGGAGGGTGGGTGGTGGCACGAAGATGCTGAGGGTAGGGTGTAACGGTCTTGAGGGTAGGGTGCAGTAGTAGCTCAGAGGCGGGCTTGATTGAAATCGCCCCGTTGAAAGTCTTCAACTCTGAGGCGGAGTTGGGTTGTAACGGTTTTTGACGGCTGAGAGGAGCGTCAGTTGGACCTTATCCTCTGACAACGTATGCGAACAGACATGGGCAGCGGCGGGAGGCCGAGAGGATGAGAGGGAAGAGAGATCTTCGATTGGTTGGTCCCATAGTCCTTCTCTGATGCCTCTCCATATGCCTCTGCTCCTCGTCCTAGCCGCACTCGTCTTGACGCTCGCTGGTGCCATTGAGAACAAATCCAACATTGAGGTTTGCCTTCCAAACTTCTTCAAGTTGAATGCTTCTTGCACAGCATGCCCAGCAGGTTCGTTTTCGGATGGAACTGCCACATTTTGTTACAAATGTTGCAATGAGGGTAGTTGCCAAGGCGTTGATTTGTATGCAGCATACACCTATAATATATCTTCAAATTGTACCGCTCCTAACACTCCCGCTCTTCAATCTAGGGGAGGGGTTCCTTTTGGATCATCAAGCTTAGAGAGATATTGTACTTCTGTTGAAAGTGGCATAGGTAGTGTGGCGATGCCATCTAGCAACAATGAGATCAATCATTGCTGGTCAACGGTCAACGATGGTGTTTATGGATTGAACAGTTCTTGGATTCCAAACTCAGATCCTTCGTTTGTGGGGATCTCAAGCACTTCTCGAGCCAGAGGACAGCTCGACTCCCTCCTAGTTACAGAGTATAGGAGGGGAAGGCGGAAGGTAAAAAATCCTTCAAGCCAAACAAAGCAGGACCAACCAAAACCTCCAGGCACACAGCGCACAGTGAGAAGCA